TGGCTACTTGCTGTTCTGTGGCGTGTTCAGCGTTGTGCCTTCGGGAAAGGAGGGTTGGAAAAGGATGACGGGAGAAGAGAGCTAGAGTTGTGAAGCTGCCCTGCCCGGTGAAGATATGCGCAGAGAGCGGCGAGTGAAGAGCGAGAAAGGGGACCACCAATGGCTCCCTATAGCGCTCTCGGCATGCATAACTCCGAAGTCCAGACCATCAACCCCATCAGCCTCAGTGTCAGCGGCCAGCTGGGATAAGACACTCGGCGACATTCCGATGGCCTGGTCGGGGGCGCCGTATGTGCTGCAGGTGCAGGCGGGTCATACCCTCGGAATTCCCAACCCCGATGATTGATGGGATGTGAGATTCGGCGAGTCTAATGTCTTGCTTGGCCTCCAGGCTGCAAGCCTGCAGCCACTCTCAGAGCTTGCCAACATCGGCCGACCGATGGAAGGCCGTGTGGACTCCCCAATCACAGGTTTATCGGCGATCTTTCTCCTTAAGCGCGGATGGAAACCAGTGTGGGTCAACAAGGGGAGTTGGAAAAAGGGAAGGGGGTTGGTGGGTGGTTCGTCGGATGGAGTAAGGGATCGTGTAATTATTACAGGGATTTGCTAGGGGGGCACTAGTCCTTTTGCTAGGGGGGCACTAGTACCCTATTGAGGGTTAGGGTTTTGTAGGAGACCGAATCTCCATCTTGATCAATCGCGACACACAAAACAGACCACACAGGGCAGGAAATACAGGCCGGACTACAGTTGATATACACACATTGAATTCCTACTAATCTACGTACAATTACTTACAATTGTGATGTTCAGCCCACCTCCGGTGTCCTCAGATCGTAGACCTTCCCTGCCAGACTGCCCATCTCAGACAGCACTACCTGCCACCACTCGCAGCCTTGGCCGCCTTTGCCGTCAATCGGACCGCGCGGCCAGATCTGGTGACCCTCGCACCTGGCGCACCTGCTGGCGCTGGAAGTGAGGGTATCGCCACGTTGCCTGTGCCCTGGTCTGACTGAGCTCGTGGTGTTGAGGCCGTCGCCCTCGTACGTTTGGGTGCCGGCGCCGAGTCCCCCCCCGCCTGCGCCTTGCGCTTCTCGCTGGCAGTAGTCTCTGCAGCCGGAGCTGCCCTAAGACCTCTCCGTGGAGCTGAAGCTATCACCAACGTTGTTCTGGGCTCTGCTCGCTCAGCGGCTGAAAGTTGACTCTCCGCCGGCGCCGGCGCCTGGTCCTTCTTCTTGTTCTTGCTGCCTGGAGGTCTGCCGCGTCTCTTGGGAGCGGCCTGGGGCGGCCGAGGCTCCTCAACGGTCTCGTGCGCAGATAAAACGCGGCGAATACTCGGTTGCAGACGTGGAGCGTTGCCTCGTGGCGGGCCTGGTGTGCTTCCTGGTGTTCTTCGTCCTTGGCTTCCTTGGCTCCCTTGTGTCCCGTCTCTTCTTTGGCTTCTTGGGGTCTTCGGCGATGAGGGTATTCCCAGACCATCTGGCAGTGGCCTTGCCGAGTTCTTGGGTCTACCTTTGCGGTTCTCGACGATCTTGGGCTCTTGGATTTCGAGGTATTTGTCGCGCTCAATCTGTATATACAGGCTCACGTCAGCAACGTTATCCTCAACGGAAGGAAGGGGCGGCTTTACAAGACTCATCTGGAGATGCCAATGGGTATGGACTTCGCGGAGTTCGAGTCTCTCTCCTTCTGCGAGCTTCTTATAGATGTCATGACGGCAGGGTATACTATACTGGATTGTTGCCGTGCAGGTATCCGGGTGGCAAGGCTCGAGAGGTCTGCGAATTGACTGTGATGGTCTGGTTGAGGGCATCGCGGCTTTGGCTCTGCGGTACTCGCCGACGATCAAATCGAGGGCTTTGTACGAGACTCTCAAAGGCAAAGCCCCAAGCCATGGTCGACTAAGGAAGTCGTGGCGCGCTCTGATGGCCTGCTTTGCCATCTCCTCAACGTTCTGCTGGACTTGCTCCTTGCAGAGATCTTGACTTACGCTTACAAGAGAGTAGGCGCTACTCCTCCCATTGATTAGATAGCTCTTGATACTCATGTTGTTCGACTCTGTTGGTGAGGTCGTTCGAACTCCAAAGTTCCGGTAGTGCCGAGTATAGCAATGGGCCCATTGGTCGCGGCAACTCATCCATTGCTTGTCGAGATAGCGCAGGAGAGCAGGTTGGTCAGAAAACTCTGCTTTCAAGTCCTTCTAGGCGCTCTGAAAGGCAGGCTCGTCGTCAGCGTAAACCATGGCCTTAAACATCTCCTCAACACCACGGGGATCGTGACTAATTGGCTTAGTGACTTTGCTGGTGGAGGTGTTGCGAGAGAGCAGTCGCTCCGCGTGGTCCTTCTCCATGGCTGCCCTCTCTTGTGGGGAGACGCCGTCGTAATCCTCGAAATCAGCGCGATACTCCTCGTCCTCGGAGTCGACCTCGTCACGGCCAGGATACTTGAACTTCCTTTTGGTGTTCAGCATGACGTTCTTGATAACGTGGAAGATACAGGTCTGTTGTTGGCTGTCAGGGAAGACCTCTGAAATGGCCTGCTTCAGCTCTTTGCAATGATCGGTGACTATCACTGCTGGTTCCGGTATGTTGAACTTGTCTCTGAGCTTCTTGGTCGCCTTCATGAGCCATCTGAAGGTCTGTGTGGTCTCGTCGGATACAAGGCCAAACATGGTACTCAACGTCTTGCCAACAGATGTCAAGCAATTGACCTGGTACAGTGGCATCCCCATGTAGTTCGTATTGTACGTCAGGTCGATCAACATACAGTCGTGGTAGATTGACGTAGCCTCGAGGCAGCTCTCGAAGCCCCAGACCAACGAACAGAAGATGGTCTCTGCGGCGTCAGCCCACTCAACCTCGTAGTGGTTGGCCGTATCACCGTCGACGTTATCAAGCGCCTTGATGAGAGCGCCGGCCGCAGTATACCCATCGAGGTTCACCTTCCGCATCTTAGCCCTAACGTTATAGATGTCCTTCCTTGTGTAGATGGTATCGTGCTCCTGGTTGACAACAGATCGAATCTCCCTGGCGCGGATGGAGGCATGGTTGCTGAGCTCTGCGATCGTATCGAGCGACTCCGAGTTTGACATGCGGTGTTGGGTATGAGCTGATGGATGAAGAGATGGACCGTGGTTGTGGACGGAGTGCTGAGGGTCAGGGTGGCTATGGAATCGCCAGCCATCCTTTGTTCGAGAGGCGGCGGCCTTCCACTTGCAGTCGCACTTCCGAGTCGCCGTCTCACGAACGCCGGCGCCACGAGGTGCGCGCGGACTACCGAAGCGATCGCACAGGATATCGAAGCGTGTATATAGACCGTCTTGCTTGTTGCGACCGTGGCGGCGGACCACGGCAAATCCTCGGGATCTGGCCCACGCGTTGATGGCTCCCTGGAGCTCCTCGATCTTGGCGAAGTCCGTGGCGAAATCGCTGTCCTTCGGGTTGGGGATCACATCTCCCTGGAGAAGAGCACTGTCCGGAACATCCCACGGCTGTCCATCAATTTGGCTGGGGCGGCCGGGCTCTGGCGGACCGTCGTCTTCGCCGTTGTCGTCAGAAAAGCCGTTCCACTCGTCGTCGTTGTCGCTCATCTTGTGCGCCGAGGGCTGCGAGGGTGCCCTGTACTGACGTGCCGCGAGTGATCTGGGGGATAGGGTGAGTTGAGGGTTACTGTATTGGGAAGGCGGTCAGCTTACTGCTTGGCCGGCCAACTGCACGAGGAAGTGGTGCATCTGATCAATTGCGCGCGATCTTTTGGTGTGGAAAAACTAGTGAGATTCGGCCTCTTGGTGGCTGTCTTGGGGCCTGTCCGAAGGCTCCAGGTCTGGCCGTTGGATCTGTTGTGGACCTTGGATTGTTTTAGAGATGGCAAGCGGCTGGTTGGCGGACCTGACAACTGCCCCATACAAAACCCTAACCCTCAATAGGGTACTAGTGCCCCCCTAGCAAAAGGACTAGTGCCCCCCTAGCAAATCCCTTATTACAAACCAACTAGACGACTGCCGTCCCTAAACCCAGGATAGGTAGGTTAGGTAGGAAGGCTTGAGGTCTCAAAAGTGACAATTACGTATTTAGACAGGTACCGACCTAGTTTTGCTGTGCCATCCACCGTAGTACAATACAGATCCGTGGAATAGGCCTCAGGTCAAGTTAGTTATCACCTAGACAAATTGCTTTGAAAGCTAACTATGGGAGTCTGGGGGAAGCTTCGGGTTAACTCTCGTGAACAGGCGAATCCAAGCGATGCTTCTAAGTTAGATTTGACAGGTTTAGGCGAAGAAACAGATTCCACCAATGTAGTTCCTTTACCGCCTTTTCTTTTCTTTTTTCTTTTCTCCTTTTTTTTTCCCCTCTCTCTATTCTCTCTCTTTTTTGTTCTTGTAGAATGCTTGGTAGTTTAGTCCAAAGTTCAAATGACCACGGATTGGCTGGAGAAGAAGAATATGGCAGAGCTGCCAGAGCAAAGCATAAGTATCAGCTATTGACGAAACGAGGCGGGCTAATTATTCTCAACTGCTTCAGGGATCAATGCTGCTTGGCTCGTTTGCTCATCTCGCGGTTGAGTCAGCGGTCAGGCCTGAAACAGCCGGATCTAGACTGACAACCAGCTTCTCAGCCGAAATCTCCCTCCGCTTCAGCATGGCCAAACCCTCTAGCATATCTTCGAAGCCGCCCTTCAACACGCGGATGGGGTGGGGCTTGAATTTTCTCGCGTCGACCAAGCGTTGAATGCTCTTGTACCACTCGATACCCCAGGCCCTCATTTCGGGACTGTGCGGCCGCGTGTATCTGCCACCGAGGTCGAGCCCGTGGCCGATGATGATGGCGCCCATGGTGAGCTCCCGTTTCACCGTCTTCCGGTCGCACACGTCCTCCTGGAACTTCTCGAGGGCGCTGTAGCGACCGCCAGCACGCCCGATGGCCTCGGTGCAGATGGCCATGGTCTTCACCTCGCCAAAGGGATCCACCGCGTACTTAAGACAGTTACGTGTCGCCTTCCTGATGTCTTGGGCGCACGTCGGTGACTTGTAGTCGAACACCTCGTCTGCGCCATAAGACTTCACGAGATCAAAGTTTTTCGGGGAGCAAGTTGTGATGCAGCGGTGGCCAAGTCTATGCCCCGTTCTGTTAGCTGTCAAAGAAAACTGCGAATCGAGGATGCGCTATGGCGACGCACAGTTTAACCATCTGAATGCCCAAACTCCCGACGGACGAACTCCCGCCGTATATCAGTACGTCCAACGGCTTGGTCGCGGGCTCTTCGAATGTTCCCGGGAGCTCGAGGGCCTTGAAAAGCGACACGCCCATGGTGGCGATGCAGCAAGGGCTCAGTCCTGCCGCCTCCTCGAACGTCATCCAGTCGGGTATGCGGTAGGAGAACACGCTGACGGCCTTGACGTACTCGGCGTGCGATCCGGAGTCCCAATCCGACGGGTTAGCCCCGTGGATGGCCCCAAAAATACGGTCTCCAATCTTCCATGGCCCGCCGTCCCGGATGTTGTCGGATCCGAGGGCCACGACGGTACCAGCAAAGTCGCATCCGTTGTAATACCCGGGGTTTGGAAACGCGGCAGGAGTCTTGAAGTCGCAGGGATTCAACGCGACGGCAGCGGTCTTGACGAGGAGATGGCCGGGGCCAAGCGTAGGGAGCGGGACGTCGCGGGCGATGACCAGGGAGCCACCCTCGCCTTGGAGCAGCGCGGTATGCTTCTCGGGTATCTCAAAGCTGCCCATTGTTTATCGCTTTTCCTTCTTTGTTGGCTGAATTGCGGTGTATGTCAGTTGACTTGTGTCTTGGTTTCGTAGGACCACATGCGCTCGATGCCCCTGGGCCCTCAACACCAAAAAGGGTGTGATGAGATGAGTGATGAGTGACCCCCCCGGCTCACCGTCAACACCCACCCAAACACCATCCATTGTAGGACCGGCGATTGTGCCGAACACCGCTTCCGGCCTACGCCCATCCTCCGGAATCGGATCTACCCTATGCGACACAATGCTGTGAGGGTTGGACTTCGGCGCCGTATTGGACAATCATCGGCCATGCCGGGTCGGAGTACTCCGAGGGGTCACGGTCGGGCTGACCGAATTGGGCCGGGAGCTCCGAGCCCCGGAAGATGGCCGGCCCCACCTGGGGTCCACATCCGCCGAACGATCCGGGGCCGTCCGATTCGGGACACGCCGACTCGGTCGTTACTGCAAACCATCTGGCGAAGAAACCACACGGCTTTAGACGTTAGAATTCAGCGTCAGGCTGATCAGGAGCTTTCGAGATTCTGCATAGGCAAACCCCCACCGCCTTCCAAAAAAACCCGTCGAATCAATTTCCTCTTCGATTCGGTGTGCTTCGACGACGACATCATGAAACTTTGTGCTCTCTTTGCTGGAGCCGTTATCTCAACCTCGGCGGTGGCGGCAAGTTGGGAATACGCATGGCCGGAGGAATGGCACCAGGAATGGCCTCTCGACGAGCAAGGACCCGATGCATGGTCCAGCAGCGAGTGTACCGTGAGCCGGCTGGACGCCTTCGAAATGGAGAAGGGTCGAAAGCCCGTCTTCTTCTCGACGGACCCGCTGGACGACCCGGAGGCGCCCAAGATGCTGCCGCTTAACTCGACCGGCGGCGAGCAATGGGAGTTTGACGGCGTCTCGGAGGACGGCCAGATGGCCTTTTGTTTCGGATTCTACCGCGACCCCAACTACGCCATCCTCGGCACGGGGAACCTCCGGCTATCCGCCGAGTTCTCGCGCCCCAACAAGACGCGCTTCGTGCGCGTCGACTATCCGAGCAGCTCCACGGTGACGAGTTGCCCCTGGGGCACGCGCGGCGTCTGGAAAGGGGCCGACTACAGCTACACATTTGAAGTTACGCGCGACATCAAGGTGGCGCGCATCGGCGTTGACGCCCCTGATCTTAAAGGCTCCGTGGTCATGCGATCGGTCATGCCGCCGCGGTATCCGGACGGCTCTACGTACCCGAACAAGGAGGCCTCGACCGAAGTAGTGCCGTATTTCCGCTGGCTCGAGGCAATCCCCGCGGCTGACGTGCGCGTCGACGTCGTCATGGATGGCCAACCGTACCGGTGGAGCGGCCTCGGCGGCCACGAGAGGCTGTGGACCGCTTTCAGCTGGTTCACCTGTCTGCAGGCCATGACCGCCGTGCGCGTCAAGGCGGGTCCCTTTGCTGCGGTGCACGGCAGCTTCGTGTCGGCAATAGATAAGGGCTTGTACCGGCCATCCACGGTGCTCGCTGAGAACGACGAGGTAATTTTCTCCACCACGCTCCACGAGCCGTCCGACACGGAGGACTACGCCGTGTTTACCAAGACGTACGGCGGGCGAGTCTCGGGCAACCTGAAAGAGAAGGCGACGGGTTATGAGCTGGTCATGGTCTCGCCCTCAGCCAAAAAGCAGTGGAGCTTTAGCATCACGAACGAGGCCATCGGATTCGAGTATATGCTGGGAGAGGGCGTGGGGGGGACGGGATTCTCCGGCCGCGCGGTCGGTGGCTCCATTGGGCTCAAGCAGTATTTTGGGCCTTCGTTTGCTGAAACTCTGGAATTTCCCAAGAGGTCGTACCTGTTCAAGTCGAATTACGTCGACGCGGTGCCGGAGGAGAAAGGGGAGCTGTAGTGGTCGTAAAAGAATTCCCAACGCGCGCTGTCATTTCCATGTCCCACACGATTTTGCCTGTCCGGTCCAGTGCTATGTATGTTTAACTCATATTGAGCCGGAACAATTTGCCGCTGGGGGCCTTGGACTGCTTCGGGACAACCGGGATACCGTTCGCGTTTAGCTATACCCAAGGATCGGCTCTCGACCATCGTGAGGGTGGCAGTCTTTCCGTTTGCGTTGAAACGGAAAGAAACGTGGTGTAAAATCAGCCGAGAACTCTAACTAGTAGACAGATTAGAGAGAGGCACGAAGGAGTTACGACTCTCTCCTCCCTCCCTGGACGGTTCACAGTCCATCTTTTTCGAGAAGATTAATCAAGAGCCTTGGCCGGGTTCGTACTTGGCCATAACGAACCATTAACTATGAGGAGCGCGTATGGGTTACGTAGTAAGGGGGGAGAACTTCATGCTTTATTACGATGTAGTCTGACAAAAGGCTATAACCATCTCCGTGCACAAAACCAATGGAGAAGGTTTGGACAACATTCCTTGACCGAACATTCCACCAAGGATCACCAGGCGAAGTAGGAAAAGGGGGCGCGAATTGAACTAAACAAGGCCATCAAACGCACCCATGCACTCAAACGCCGGGTCCGCATGAACCCACGCATCATCAAACCCAACGCAATGCCAACAACGCAGCAGACCAGCCGGGTCGTACCGAGCCTTGACAGCCTCCAGACGCGCGTAGTTGTCGTCGCCCCAGAACTCGCGCCGCCAGTCCCGGTGCCACGGGCTCGCCTCGTTGGGATACGCGGCACCTTCCGGCGCCAGGGCCGTCAAGTCCCGCGCGGACGTCTGGTCCTCGCGCGCTGCCTCCCGCCGCTCGGCCACGCTCGCGTTCCACGCGTACGAGCTCTGGAAGCCCGCCAGCCAGTAGCTGTTGCGCCATGCCGGGTGCATGGAGGTGCTGTCACGAGGCGTGCTGTATCGCGCTGGCGGTGTCATGAACAGGTAGGGGGTCTGGTTGTTGCGCGCGCGTTGCGAGAGGAAAGCCAGCAGTTCGGCCCTGCCCTGGGGCTGATCGTGAAGGCGTTTGGGCAGTACGCGCAGCGTCGGTAGCGCGCCTATGCCAACATAACTCTCGGACACGGCGATATACCGGGCGTAGAACTCGCTATAGGTCGGGAACTGCTCGATCGTGACCGTGCCGTTCTCGCCGCGGACGTAGTCGGCCGCTGCTCGCATCGACTGGGCCGCAGCCGCCTCGTCCTGCTCTAGGCTGACGAGGGCCAGGGAGCTGGAGGTCATGGGGCCGCCCCAGCCGCCGGCAGACCACGCGGGTGTGTTGTTGATGAGCAGGTCCAGGAACGGCGCCTGATTCTCCAACGTCGGCGTAAAGGAGAGCAAGGCGAGCGTCACGGGCGTGGCCGGTTCGACCCGGACCGTCATGCTCAGAACCACGCCGTACGTGCCGGCCCCGGCGCCCCGGAGCGCCCAGAAGAGGTCAGCATGGAGTTGCCGGTTGCAGATGCGCAGCGCCCCGTCTGGCGTGACGAGTTCGATCTGGAGTACGCGGTCCACGCCGAGGCCCAGCGTCGGCGACAGCACAGAGTGCCCGCCAAACAACGTCCACCCGCCCACGATGGCGATAGTGGCAGAGGAGGGCCCGACAAGCGTGACGTTGTTCCGGCCGGCGAACGCCTGTGCCTCATTGGAGTTGACGCCCGAGCCGAACGTGATGGCCTGGACGGGCTCGGCGCCGCTGACCCCCGCCGGCCGGAAGGTCGCGTGGTACGTCATGTTGCGGAGGTTCCGCGTCCACAGGCCCAGCGAGCCGGGAAGGGTGTGGCGGTTCACGTAGTCATGCCCGCTGGCCTTGATCGAGATGGGCGTGCCCGTCCGACGCGCAAAGCGAAACGCCGACTGCACGTCGCTCGCGCTGCGGACGTCGACGTACCACGGGGAGACCAGGCCCTGGTTGCATGGCAATCCGGAGCCCGGGCTGGCCCCTAGGTTTTCCGGGTCTAGCTGGCATTGGTTCGTCGTGTTGGAGATGCAGCCGTCGCCCTGGGCAAAGTAGAAGCCTGCGTACTGATTTGCGCGGAACTCGGCATCGAGGTAGCGGTGCCGGATGGCGGCACATTCCTCCTCGTCCGCTGCGGCAGGCTGGCCGTTGTATGTCGAGAAGCACGGCCTCGCCAGAGGTACTCCCTGGTGCAGCCGACCTGATAGCTCGTTGGAGAGTGTTTTCCAGTCAGCGGCAGTGGGGAGCCCCTGAGCCCCGGGGGGGGGGCTGCAGAGGAGGAGACACAGGCCTATAACGACGACGAGCTTTTGGGGCCGGGCGAAACAAGACTGAAATCGTGAAAAGCAACTACGGCTCTCTGCAATATTGACAACGGAGTCCCAACCAGGACGTATTGGCAACTCTCGGTCGTGGGCGGTATGTTCCATCATGCTCGGCGCCGATATAGGTGCTCAAGAGTCAAACGTTTTGTGATCCCCGGAAGAAACTGAGACACACTTGATCGGAAACCACTGACCGCGAGGAGAGAAAGGGCGGGGCGGGGGCGGAAATGCCACGAAGACAATCAATAGTAGTCACTCCTGGCCATTGCTTCGGCCTGGTGTCGGACCTCAGCGCCGGGGATCTACACTCGGCGCTTCGGCGGTTCGGGGATCCCGAGCAAAGCCTCACGCCCACATCGTCCATCTAAGCCAGGCACGGTTGTCGGAGCCGCTTACGACTTATGTGGTAAACAAAAGGGAGAGGATCATGAAAACTCAGTATTGCGAACAAAGTCAAGAGTGATGGTTCAAATGCAATAGAGGCTGTTTATGTCTTGACCTATCCCACTGCTCGTTGAGGGGCTTCCGTGTGTTTTTGATCCCCCATCAACCAAGGTGCGTTTGAAAGCAACGGCCGTCGTCGTTTAGCTAGCTCTTGGACTTGTTGCGGAAGAGCACCGTAGCGGTAAAGTTAGGGACGTTGGAAAAGTCGTGCACCATATTTGGCGGACGCGTAAGGCCGTCGGGCCATTTGATGTCGTATCGCGTGAGCATGTGAATTAGGATGAGTTTGATCTCATAGCTGGCAAAATACCGGCCCGGACATGCGTGTGTACCGCCGCCAAAACCCACCATCTGGTCCGAGACGTAGGCAAAGTGGTGTTTGTTCGGGTCTCCTGCCTTGCGCATCTTGAGGAAGCGCCAGGGGTCGAACACGTCCGGGTTTGGGTGCACATCCCCGTCTCGGTTGAACTCGCACGTGGGGAACAGGATCTGCGTATGCTTTGGAAGCCGTAGCCCGTCTTGGAACACATAGTCCACTACGGCGGACCGCTGCATCGTCACTGCGGTTGCCCAACGTCAGCTCGCATCGCGGTGGCAAAGATATGTGAGTCTAAGAAGGAGGGTGTGTCTTACCCAACCCGACGGGGTTAAACCGGAAGCTCTCGGCCATGAAGCTGTCCAGCTTCTCCAGCTCCGACAGCGCCTGCTTGGTCCAGCGCCCACCGACGTCCCTGTGCCGGGCCGCGACAGCGTTGATCTCGCCGATGATCTCCTCAGCAACGTTAGGACGGTCGAGGAGGTCGTATAAGATGGACAAGCTAGTAGCCGATGTGGTGTGGACCGAGGCTATCCCCACGAAGAGCTGCTCGTCAGCCACCTCTTGTGCGCTGGGCCGCCGGCTGCCCTGCGCAGCCAGCATCCACTGGATGCCGTCCGGCTCTCCGGGCTTGGTGTCTTGGGCCCCGGCAAGCCGCTTTTGGATGATGGGGTCGACAATCTGTGCAGACCGCCGTCGTGTTGCAATCACTGCCCGGGCGCCGGGATGTCGCCAACGTGCCATCCAGCGCAGATGTGGCGGGTACTGCTCCCTAATCTGTTGCGCTGCTTGGTGTGTCATACCGGTGACCCCCACGTTCATTCCGATCCACTCCTCGCTGCCGCTCAGCTCGCGCCCCCCCAAGACTCTGGCGATCGCGCGTGAAGTCGTATAAGCCAGCGCCATGTACGGCGTCGCCGGTTCCCAGGCTTGGATAGGGGGCCCCATGTGGTTAGCCAGTTGTCTTTGTCGGTTTGCGTGCGTCTCTCTCCCCTCTGACGGCACTCACCGGTCGAATTTGGCAGCTTTGACGCCAGCGCAACTTCAATCTCTTCTTGCGTAGCCTCCAGCAGAGCTCCCATATTCTTGTTCATCTCGGTGCGCACCATGTGAGTAGTACGGTCGGTCTGCTTGGGCGCGTGGCTGTAGTTTAGCAAGAAGGCCTGGTTCAAGTGTTGGATGGTCAGAAAACAGGCACGTCAAGATTTTTGAGGCCACGGGTACCCCCGGTCCTACCTGCTCCGAGTACAATCGGAAACTGAACCGACTCTCTGGCGCACTCTTCAGCTCGCTCAGATACTTGGCCGGTAGCACGACCTGCGGGTGGTCCGGATCCGCTGGATTCCGCATCTGGAACGGCATGCCGCGCTTGGTGTACTAGGCCCTGAATCAGTACGAGCGGGTGGTCTTAGTGACAAAGCAGAATGGGCAGGGCAAAAGAACCTTGAGATAACCGGCGTGCAGCAGGGCCCAAGTGTCACGTATGTAGCGCTCCGTCGAGTTATCACCGTCTTCGAACTCCAACATCGGGATGTGATTCAGCCCGTCATTCGGCCGTTTGGGGCGCACCAGCCGGTTGGCCACCATTGCCGCAAGCGCCAGCACCAGAATCACATACGGGGACCAGGATGATTCGGCGGCGAAGTAAAAGCCCGTCATGATGAGATAAATGTGTGTGCCGCCGAGCCACCCCGGGGACAAAACTTGGATGGGGAGAGAGGAGGAGCAAAAAAAGCACTGGGACGGATACAGTGATACACTGCAATACAAGAGGCAAGTTATGAACGACCACAGAATGTATAAATTGCGGGTTATTAGAATCGAGCGGCTTCCGTTTTGCGACTCCCCCGTATGCCGCCGGACTTACCGAATCCCGGCTTCCCGGGGCTTTCCACCGAAAAAGAAAAAGCGGTTCAACGGTTTGTGTCACAAGACTCAGGTATGCGGGCAGGGTTGGCTGTCCGCCTCTCGGGGGCGGCCGAATCACGGCAGGCACCTGTCGGCCATGCACAGAGGCGCAGAGCCGTACTGGTTGGGATACAGTTGCTGACTTAGCACAGCCGATGCACCGCTTTTCCGATTCGTGGTATGGTGGTCAAAGTCCGTGATTGGACTCTTGGAGATCCCAAGAAAAGTAGACGCGGTGATGAGGAAACATGAAGAATTAAAGATTCCGTGTCTTTCTTGGGCGATTTCTTAACCTGCGCACTAGCCAGGCATGACCAGTCACGAAACAACAATATGCTTTTCCGGACATATGCATTGGCAGTTACTGTCAAGCAGTCTTCCAGCCCAGCTCTTATCCGTACGGACCGTACCTCACCGTTACAGTTCCATTGAGGATATTATAGCGGAAACCCCTCCCGACGGTTCTTGGTCTGCCATTGACGCAAATCATGCCATCTTCCATCAACAGTCCCGAATGTTCCGGATTACAATGTCTCTGCCTCGCCCTCAATCTGGCCGAAAAGAGTCGTGAAACGGTTGGGGAGTGGGGACTGGGTAATCCGGCCAGGAAGGAAATGCGAGGGTGGCGAACAAGAGATTCTTTGCATAGGTACCTAGCTTGATTACAATACACGTATATACATGTGGCCATCTCAAACATCATCTATAATTCACAACAAAAAGCCCAGGGGAAATATACATCGAGAGGGGCATTGGGGCTTAATACCGGGACTTCGATCCAGGTGGTTGGCAAACGAACCGAAGGAGCATCGAACTGATCATGTAGAAGTAATAATATGCGACATGGGAAATGTTTTCTTTGAGCTAGCCACACAATGCCAATAGAGAGAGATATCTAGAGTACCCTAGGCACCTATGTTCCGAGTTTGCAACAGCCCGTCAGTTCTTTCCTGAACCCTTGATAAACACGTAGCACGGCTGACAGTTGAGTAGCCCCACCGTCCGTCTATCTGACGCTAACGATATTCCCGCTGTCGTCTACAGCTTCCTCGACCGAAACAAGACCTTAGCCTTGGTATCCGGACTCATGGACCCATTGGGCATCGATCCCTTCTCGGGCTTCCCCTGCCCCGGGGGCAGCTCAAGGTCGTAGTGCGTCAGAATGTGTGCGAGGATGATCTTGATGGTGTTGTCGGCGAACATCCTCCCCGGGCAGGCCTGCGGGCCGTCTCCCCAGCCGGGCGCGTCGGATCCCAGGTTGGCAAACTTGAACCGGTTGCCGTTTTCGGGCTTCTGGCGAGCCCGGTAGTGCCGAAGCCCGTCGAACCGCTCCGGGTTTTCCCAAAGCTGCGGCGAGAAGTCAATGTGGTGGGCGTCTACGCAGATGAAGCAACCAGCCGGCAACTCGGGGCAACCTTCAAGCTTCAAGGGGCGCAGAAGCTTTCGATAGAGGACCACTGCAAATTGGGAGTTAATGCCTGTGTTCATGCGAGTTTTACAGCTGAATGGCTTACAATGGCTGAAAGGGTTGACTCGGGCTGACTCCCTCATGACGCTATCCATAACCTTGAGCTCGTTGAGGTGGGTGGACGGCAACTCGCCGTTGGGAGCGACCTCTCTTAGCTCCCGGCGCACCGCTTCCGCTAGCTCCGGGGCTGCTGCCAGCTCTATCAAGATGTAAAAAAGCACCCCCGACGTCGATGGGGTGGACTCGAACGTAATGGCGAGGTAGTCGCGAATGAGCTGGGACATTCTGTCCTTCAGCGATGCTGGGTAGCGGCTCAAAAGCCAGCTCGTCAATGCCAGCTTTCCTTTTGCTTTGGGGCCCGCTGGCGACTTCTTGTCTGCGGTCGACTCGAACTCCAACATGTCTTCCTTGAGCACCGGCGTGATGAGCCGCGTTAGCACAAAGCTCGAGTACCGGATGGGGACGAACAGGAGCGGTTTGATCAATAGCCGCAAGACCGCCGGGGTCAGGCTGAGAATCACAGTGGGAATGCCCAGCAGCATTGGCAGCCGCTCGACGTGCCATATCCAAGTGGAATTGGACGCCAGCTCCCTTCCAACAAGGGGGCTCGCATTCGTCGATACGACAATCTTCTGCAGCGCCGGAAACATGGTGATTTCGGTCCAGTCCGGACACTCGCCAATGGAAGCATCACATGCTGCCGCGCAGTCGTTTTGCCGGTCGTGGATGAGTGACGGTATTGCACGGGTGGCATCGACCGCTACGGCCCTGAAGGGGCGGGTTAGCACAGTGATCGCAACTGGGGTCGCCCAAAAGTATGTACATATACTCACTTCATCATGGCCTCGCTGTGCCGGGGAATCCCGGACCAGTTGGTGTGAAAGGCATGGCGGAAGAATTCATAAGCCGACGCGTCTCTTGCCGGAATACGCTTGATATCGTTGAAGTACCGGGATGGGAAGACCACGTACTCGGTCCCGAAGGCCCGTATTCTGTAGGGCCGGTCCGGAAGCTGGTGAGCTTGCTGTCAGTCAGGGGAGCCCGGGGCCGCAAGGGAGCCCGCAACCTGCTTATTACTTGCCTGTTGTGCACAGTCTCGCATCATCTGGCGGAAGTCAAATTTACCCCCCCGAGATTTGCCCAGCAAAGGAATTCCTAGATCTTCGAGTGATGGAGTGGAGGGTCGAAAGAACAACTTTGACGTGGTCCAAGCCAGAACCGACACCACCGTCCCAATCAGCACACACGCGCCAACCATGGACATTTCCCGCCATATTTGCGCTATGACGAGGCGTGCCAGTTGCCACCGACTCAGGCGAATGCCGGCAACCGAAAGGCGGATAACAGCATAACTCTCTTGGATGCGAGCAATTTCGTCGAGTACACCTTGGATGAGTTGAGGGACCATCATGATTGGAAACAAGGCAGCTCATGAGTCGGAAATCGAAACCGCATAGATGCCAAGAAGAAAAAGAAAAAAAGAGAAAAGAAAAAGGAAAAAAAAAAAGGGAAAAAAAAAACAGTCTCTCGACCGACAACAACGTAATAGAGAGTGGTAAGAACATGCCGATCTCTTTGACGGTAGCGGGTTGTCTCGGACCGGAGCAAGTCGGCTGCGCCGGGTTCTCCGATGCTAAGTTTCGGAGCGGCCGGTACCACTTAGACGTAGCCGAACGGCGAAACCCTGGGTACCACTTTCGGCCCCTCACTCCTAGCGAAAACCAGGGTTTCTGTCGGGCCTTCTGATGGTGATTGTCCGGCTTAACCCTATCTTGCCGTTGCCAGACACAGGCGGTCGCGAAGGCTCAGACAGTCAGACCCGTTCAAACATGGCTGCTCCCACAACAATCAACATAGACGACGTGTCTGGGCGATGGCTGCTCAACCGCCAGCTCTCCGAATCCACCGAGGCAATGTTTGCCTTGCAAGGGATTCCATGGATCATTCGGAAAATCATCAACTTTGCCACGCTGGAGCTCGAGTATGTCAAGCTCGACACAACGCCGGACGCGACCGCAGCCCGGCTTGCCTTCAAACAGACGGTCCGGCCCGGGGGTTTCGACACACGCAACGAGTATATCCTGGATGGCGAGAGCCGCACGGACACGGTGCCCATTTTCGGCGAGATCAGCATGCGGTGCCATTACGTCGGCAACGAGGAAGCGGCAAAGCACGATGCGGTCGGACTCGAAACCGGCGCGGACAACGCAGGCCACGCAGCCATTCTCGAGATCCTCAGGAGCGAGCCCATGGGCTGGGCCGCGACCACCGTATGGGGCTTTGAAGTCATCGATGGGGTCCGACGCTTTGTCAAGCACAACAGCACCATCAAGGGAGAGAAAGTGGAGAAGGCAAAATTGGTTTTTGACTACCTGGGACCGCCACAAGTATGAAGCGGTAACGGCGGTACCACGTTCTACGCGCTGTCTGTATTTTGGGTTGACTATTGAAATATTGAGAAGGCGTTTGTGGGCATGGATATTTTACTCCATGGGGAGATGGCAATGTCAAGGGCTAAGTAGAGCTGTTAGTGCTTGTTGTGCCTAGTAGGTACGGCGAAAGTAGTCCCAATCCGCTTCGCATCATGACCGGACGAAAAGTTTGAGATCGTGCCTTACATGTATGATGATTAGGAACTTGTACATGCCACATTCGCATGGGTCACGCACTCCGAGGTCCCATCTCCTCGACAGCCAGGGACAGACGGAGCAGAGCTTGCCGTACGGTGGAAAATTGTATTAGAAAGCCGTCTATGTCTGTGAAAAGACCAACTTGGGAATCGTGTCAACAACAATGAACAGTAACTCTTGCACCCAAGTGACCAGCTTGCGCTCCTCCCTCAGTCTCCCCCATCCAGAATCCGCTGCACATCGACATCGGGATTGCCTTCCTTGACGATTTCCAGAACATCGTGCCACGCTTGCTGCATCAAGTCCTTGTCTTCCACGAGTTTCCCATACCTGTCAAGGCATTAGTTAGCATTCCTGAATAAGGGTTGTATGCGAGCCTGCACAACGTACGGATAAAGGACATCGTGTGTCCAGAAGCCGGCATGGCTCTCGGGCCCCAGGGCTGTTGCGCTAACCAGCGTCCGACTGCCCTGCTCGGCAGTGCGGGCAAAAATGGCGAGGAATGGCGCCATGAAGATGTGCGAGGCCACCGAGAACTTACGGCCCAGGTCCGTCTTGCATAGGCCCGGACAGGCGAGGTTGACGATGACTTCGGGGGTGCCCGGGGTACTTCCTCTCTCACGCGTCACCCCGGCAAGAGTCTCAGCAACGGCACACGCGATCAGCTTGAGCATCAAGTAGCTTCGGTCGGCATTCCAACCGTCGCGTTCCGCGACCGCCTTGACCAGACTGCCGGACTTGGCAAACCATTCCCGCTCGACCATGCCGTGGCCGTGGCTATTGGTGAGGGTGAGATGCGGCGGCTTCCCTGTCGCCGAAGCCGTCCTGCGCAGAAGCGGGAGGAGCAGGATGGCCATGAGGGTGGTAGACAGAACGTTGACTTGGAACCCCATTTCCCATCCCGACGGCGCCGCCTCGAACTTGGGGTTGCCGAGCCCGGCGTTGAGGAGAGCAACGTCCAGTCGCGGTGTCAGCTTCTCGACGGTGGTGACGAAGGTCCGCACCGACGCGAACGTGGCCAGGTCTACGGGCGCAATCGCTATCGTGTCGCTCTGCCGGTGAGTGCGGGCGAGGATGCGCTTTTTTGTGTCTTCGCCTTTCTCGAGATTGCGCACACCAAGGATGAGTAGGTCGGCGCCGAGCGCCGAGTACTTGACGGCGGCTTCAAAACCGATTCCCGTGTTAGCGCCCGTGACGAGAACCGTCTTGCCTGCAAAAGAAACTGTCGGGTCGGCGGGCGGGTGCTTGACGGCCCAGCGCATCGCGGAGCGCTGGCCGAGGCCGGGAGGTGGTCCTCCTCCCTCTGGATACTTGCGTGCGGTGATGATGTTGGGGTCAGACATGGCGATGCCGCGCTGGTATTGAGATCGGACTGTCTGAGACGGAGATGCGAGCGACGGGAAGAAAGAAAGGCGGTTTCGAATGCACGAGATTGACGAGAACCACGGTCGGCGCGAAAGAGACGTCGAAACAGCTGGTGTTTGTGGTGACTATGTGGTGACTGGAATGACATGGAGGGGAGGAAAACGCTGTGTGACTCGTGAGTTCCCCGCCCGTGGGCGTCGCGTCACTCGAGCAAACACACTGTCGGTGTGTAACCAACATTTGTTTATCTTCCATCACTTTAAACGAGATATCGATTGGCCTGTTCGCCTCGAATCATTTGAGCATGTGTGAAACATGGCATTCGGTACTGTGTAAGTCGTGGCACGCGGCATCGTCTGCCGCCAAATGCCACTGTGCCAATGGAAGCCCGGTGAGCCGATCACCAACGCGACGTGATTGGCACGGAGTGGAAAATCGGCCGGGAGGTCCGAAAAGTTTCCGATTTCGCAAAGGAACGCTGGCACACGGGTTGGACCTACAGACCCGGAAGGGATTGCCTGAATCAGAGACAAAGATTAAGGAGCGGATTCATAGATAGACAGGGGAAGACGTCCGGCGACATTTATATGTATGAAGTAAGCGCCAGAGCCTCTTAGTCTTAGGCTTTTGGTACATGTATGTACTCGACAGGTTGGGTGACCAATATCGCGCTTGTTCGACAATCTTTCAGTTAAATTGTAGCCCACTATGCATCACTTTTTCAAAGGCCAGTTCTTCGATTTCGAGGTGGTACGCATCCTCGGCGTGGCCGTCTATGGGGGCTCAGACATCGCTGAGGTGCTCGAGGCCGTCGGGCACATCAAGGACGGCGATGCAGAGAGCTGGGGCCGCGCATGGAAGACGCAGGCGGAGCGAGCCGAGGCCCTGGCCGAGGCGGCAATGAAGGCAGGGCACCACCCTATCGCGCGCCAGGCCTTCCTGAGGGCGTCCAACTACACGCGAGCGAGCGGATACATGCTCTGTGGGGATGGCCCAGATCGCCCCCATCCGCGGCAGCTCGAGGTATGCGAGCGGGTGGCCTCGCTCTTCGGCAAGGCGGCTACCCTATTTGACCACTGCGACTTCCATCGGCTTGAAATCCCGTACAAAGAGGGAGGCTTGACGCTACCGGCTTATTTATACCTTCCACCGCACGACAAGCGCCTCCCAGGCAAGATCCCGATCCTCATCAGCAGTGGTGGTGCGGATGCTCTCCAGGAGGAGCTGTTCTACATGCATCCCTCGGCCGGTCCGTCTCTTGGGTATGCGGTGCTGACGTTCGAGGGGCCTGGCCAAGGACTGACCCTCCGTCGCCACAACCTCAAGATGCGGCCGGATTGGGAGGCCGTGATTGGGGTTGTGCTGAGTTTTCTCGAGCGGCTATCAGAGACCCGTCCAGAACTCGAGCTGGACACGTCACGAATTGCCATCGCTGGCGCGTCGTTGGGCGGCTATTTTGCGCTGCGATCGGCAGTAGACCCACGCATCAAAGCAGTGAGTTCGATTCCCACCCCCCTCTTCTTGCAATCCTTTTCCATCCTCCAGCCTAGGTAATCTGACAGACTACCCCAGTGTGTCGCCCTCGATCCGCTCTGGAGCATGTGGGACTTCGCGACGGAGCACGTATCGCCCACCTTCATCGGCGCGTGGGACCGTGGGTGGATTGGAGACGGCTTTGTGGATAGCGTCATCGGCCTGGCCATCCGTTTCTCCTTCCAAATGCGCTGGGAAGTGACCACGGGAGGGACCTTCTTCGGTCTCAGATCGCCGGCATCCATTATGCAGGAGATGAAGCGGTACAGCCTAGCCTTACCCAGCGGTGAGAACCACCTCGAGCACGTCCGATGCCCTGTGCTGGTGTCGGGCGCATCCGACTCGCTCTATCTCAAAGAGAATCACCACACGATGCGCGTGTTCAACGCGCTCACCAATGTTGCAGAGGCGGACAAGGCCCTATGGCTGGCAAGCACGCCCGGCGAAGGTTCGCTTCAGGCAAAAATGGGCGCGTTACGGCTGGCAAACCAGCGTACATTCCAGTTTTTGGACCTTGCCCTGGGCATCAAGCGAGGCATGGCAGATTAAGCAGCTGTCGGGGGGACGCAACAGCTAGCCATCTCATAAACTAATAATGTTGCTGTCGTTCTCAAGTTGTTCATGGAAAGAACCTAAGAAGTGGAAGGAGGGCGAACCGAGGTTTTGGAGGCGGTAGCTAACACGACGGTGTAGACCGTTTTTCGTAGTCTCCTTGCGAGCCTTGCAAGCTCTCAACCAAGAGCCTACCTAATAACGCGCATCTCGCTTTAGAATCGTCCAACCCCACCTCCCGGGGCGTCTGGTATGAGCTGATTACCACAGGTTAATTATGTCCAGACGATCGAGCTTGTTGATGATCAGAGCTTCGGATGTGCCGACTGTAATGCAGTCATGAACAAACAGGGCGCATCCGGTTCATCGGGATCAAGAAGCCTGCAAAGTATACGTTGACGCAATGCCTCCGAACCGAAAAAGAATTCGACGTAGTCTGAAAGGGGAAGGATATGCGGTATTTGGGATTGTGCAACAGAAAAGGGTGACTAAGACATACATTGAAACATTTTCAGGAGATTGACAAAGTTAATTGTCGATACGGAAAGCATAAAGTACCTCGAAGTGGAAGAAATACCTGGAGGAACTCCAGGTTCCTTAAGTGCCTGGAGGAACGTACGAGCAACGAGTACTTCCTTCCGCAAGGTTCCTTTTCCAAGAAAAACCATGGTATGCTCCAAGCAGGACCACTTCCGCCCCATCAAACGCCCTATCAAAAAAAAGCCGTGCCATTTCTCCCTGTAAACTGTGAAGTTCTACTGTCATTATCCTAACGATTGTGGAAGCAGCCATGTTGCTTTGCCTGGAGGAACTTGCCTCTTGACGATGAGCGTCTCGAAGTTAGGCTTGGCAGTGGTGGTGCACGGACTGTCTGTTGGGGCCTCAACGGCCTATCAGCTGTGGGGCCGCCCCCGGTTTACAAGGGCTTCAGCGACGACCACGAAAAGATGCAGATTGCAGGGCAACACGGCAACAAGTTGAGAAGGAAAATATTAATTGAAGCCGCTTATTTCACTGGAAAAGAGCTCCAAACCAGAGCAACGGTGGAGAGATGTGCTACAATCTGAGCTCGGAAACCCCAGGGTCTCGCCAGAGCGCCGCGTCCGCTACGTCATCGGTTTCAGTCCCCTGGCCAGATTCAGGCATGGCAGCCCATTCTTGAAATAACGACTCGTGCCTGTGGTCTTGCTCGAACCGTCGTCTGGTCTCCTCACCCCGTCGTTCCAGCTTGACGATGGCGGCCCTCATGTCTTTGTCAAGCACATTCTTGGGCTCGATAAAGTCGCCGCCGCCCCGGGTTTCCGTAACAGATGCAGCCCGTCCCAGCTCTGCGCCCTCGACAGCTGCACGTACAGGCTCATGAAGCTGGGCCGCGTCGCCGTGCCACTGGAGTGGACGCCTTTGAGGTTGATGAGGACGTTGGAGAACTGCTTGCCTTGGCTCTTCTGATCTGTCATAGCGAAGGCCGGGGTGTAGAGAGGCCCGGTTCTGTGGGTAACCCACCTGAAACCCGGCTTGCCCCTCCATCTGCCTTCTTTGCCCCGCATTTGGCTCGGGATGGCGACCGTCTTGCTCTTGATCAGGATCGTGCCATTGGGGAGCCCGGGGATGGCGAGGCCCGCGCTGTCGTCTGACTGAAGGAGGACGGCCACCGGCGGTCCAAGATGCAAGAGTCACATCGCTGGCGAGCGCGATGGTGCCGGCGGCGAGGTCGGGAAAGATGTCGACGGCTTTGAAAGGCGCCCCGTTGACTCACCTTTAGCCCGACAAACTGGTTCCGAGTCACCGCCACCGGCATCCCTTGAGCGTAGAAGAACAGGCCCGGGGTTGGCAACTGGGAGTCGTCTCCGTAGCGAAGCACGCGGCACAGCTCTTTCACACTTAGTCGCTTCCCCGAATCGGTGTCATGCTTGGCCACAAAGATGGAGATGTGTTTGCCGTGGGCACGAGCCCACTGGACAACGGCGGCCATGTTCAGGTCCCACCGGTCTTGGTTCAGGGGCGTGATGGCTCTCAGACCGTCTACGAAGGACGCCTTGCACGACGGTGTATAAAGGCGTTGACTGAGCCGCTGGAAGTCCAGCTCGGTCTGCTCGCCGTTGCGCAGGCGCCCGAGGAAGCCCCGAAGCCTTGGGCAACCAGCCGCGCGGACCTGCTCCTGGAGGATGACAACGGTTGTGAACTGGAGGAACAGCCTGTGCGCTGCGAGATGCTTCGCCAAGCTTTCCGGCCTCTGTCCGCCACGGTCCCTGGGCGCCGGCAAGAGGAGGCTGGTCTGCAGGACGGGGTCGAACTGGAAGAAGTCCCCGAAGAACAGGACCATTGGGATCCCGCCAAACGGGCGATAACCCTCTCCCGAGCCAATCAGAAGCAAGAGGTCTACAGCGGGAAAAAAGAGGGCGCGACTGTACGATTCGACGCTAGTCTGACTGAAGAAACCACGTTTCCTTACTTTCCCAGCATTCGTCAATAACCATCATGAAATGGAAAAAAAAAAAAGACAATTACATCGTTGACTCCGCTATGGGGCCTACCTGCAGCTGGCAAGTTCCTCCAGGCTTCCTTTGGCGTGCCCGCGCGCAGCGGGCACGGTCACTCCTGTTCCATCCAAGAGTTGGCGATGATAACCTCGAGGCAACGCCCATCTCTATCACATACGACCATACCTGCCAGAAAACACGGGATCCCGTCCGCTCTCCCCTAGTTAAACTCGCAAGGGCCGGATCAGTAGTTGGGTCGGTGACGACCAGCGAATCCCCGGTGTTGTATGTTTTTGATCTTTTTGCTTTTAACTATGGATTCGTGAGTCTTGGCGGATAGTTGTTTACACCCTTTTTCCCAACCACAGCACCAGCCTTCATTTGATTAACTACCCAGGCACTTAACATGTAACTGAGACGTTTGCAATCATAAAAAGAGGTAAAACTCCAGTAAGTGGGAAAGTAAAACCTAGTCGTGCTCTCTCCACAGACATGTAGGTTCCCGAGTACGCAACCTACCCACAAGGGATGGCATGCTCAGGCCTACTACCTACATGACGGCCACAACTCCTGCCCGAGTCCCCGAGATCGACCATCGACGATAAATAATTACGGCCATCGCTCCAAACACCGACAGACCCCGCTCTGGGCAACCCACAATATGCTCCACCGACGGCCCCATCCGTTCCGAAGCTTTCTGGGGTTTAGTGGAGTTGCCGCTCAGGCGGTACTTTGTGTGGTGTCTATGGTTTCGAGTTTTATTTGTTGGCTCGCCAGGTGACATTGGGGCTTCACATCAGTGATGGGCTTGATGCGAGCAATGATGGCGGAGAAGATTCCTTGTGTCAGCGCCACAGGAGAGCACAGGAACACACACACAAGGAACACTATCAGCGAGCAGTCTCCAAAATTTTAACATGGCAACAGATAACTTCGGTTAATTAACTAGCCCAGCCTGGCCCGCTCGCCGACCCCAAACAAATAGCCAACCCTTGAACAACAACCAGGATGCACAACCCCAACGATACTAGATCATAGCAGGAACAACCCTTAAGCAACAATCTTCTCGGCGACCTTGCCGTCCTCGGTGAGAATGACCTTGTCGACCTTGAGCGAGGCCTTGACGGGGTTGGGCTGGTTGTAGACCCATTCGAGCTGCTCGATCGTGCGGCCCTGGGACTCGACACTGTGGGAGGAACGACGTTAGCAAAAAGAGAATGGAATAGAACAATGTAGTTGGTGAAATATGTGGAGAATCACAACATACCCAAAGAAGAACCACGCAATCGACTCGATGACGTCCCAGGCAACAAACACAAAGATGTACTTGTAGCCAATTCTCTCAAGCGCAATGGGACCGGCAAACAGGTTGATGAAGCCCATGCCGTTGACGATGAACGCGGAGAGGGCAAGGCCCTTCGCACGGGTGGTGGTCTCGAGGGCCTCGGTGGGGATGGCGCCCTGCAGCGGGGTGTAGGTGAAGGAGAAGATGATGTTGAAGAGGAAGTACGAGGCGAGCGCGCCCTGGCCGTAAGAGAGGTCGATCTCGCCGCGCTGCGACTGCTGGTCGAGCACGGCCGACAGGCCCGAGTTGGTGGCTAGCGCGACGGCGCACATGAAGGTGCCGATGACGAGCACCTTGCGGCGGGGCATCTTGTCGGTCAAGCACACGGCCGTCAGGGCGCCGATGGCGGAGAGCACCTGGTTGAGGATGTTGTAACCGAGCTGCTGGGGGACGCTGGTGACGCCGAGGTTCTCGAAAATGGTGGTGTTGAAGTAGCCGAGACCGTTACCGGAGAACTGGCCGAAGATGGAGATCATGAGCACTTGGGCGATACGCCAGCGGCCGCTGTGCGTGAACATGAACGGCCGGTAGTCCCACCAGGTCTTGTCCACGCCGTCCTGTACAATACCCTCCCTCATCTCCTCGTACTCGAGGCGAACAAGACGCGAGTTGGGGTCGCCGTTGCCGTGGTACTTGACGAGGAACGCGAGAGCCTCTTCCTCCTTGCCGTTGGCGATGAGGAAACGAGGAGACTCGGGGATGAAGAAGACAGAGCCCATGACGACGAGGCAGGCAAAAGACTGGAGGATCAGGGGCACACGCCAGGAGTAGTCGTTCTCCATGTAGTTGCATCCGAAGGTGACGATGGCAGCCGGGATGGCACCGCCGAACCAGCCGCAGTTGTAGAAACCCGTGCAGCGGCCACGCCAGTGAGGCGGGGAGATTTCGAGGGCGTACGCAGGGGCGGCGACTGTCATGACGGCGATACCGAGGCCAAGGATAAAACGACCCACAACAATCTGCGGGAGGTGTGACGAGGTCGAAATAATGATCATGCCGAGGTTGATAATAACACCGCCCGTGAACATACTCTTCCGGCGGCCGAGCTTGTCGGAGAGGGTAGCGGCGAAGGGAGCGCCAACCATGGCACCACTGAAATACATGGCTAAGTCAGCTTATTGGCCATACTATCGGGGCTTTTCAGACGCCTGGCGACATCAAAGGGGGAGACTTACACGACATAGAGCGAGAAGATGACGGCGGCGCCAGTTCCAACAGCCTTGACACCAAACTGCTCTTGGAAGGGCTTCATAGCGATGATGGACGTCATGAGAGAGCCATCGTATCCATTGGCACACGCGCTGTGATTGAATTAGCAACCACCTATCATGGATTCGAGCCACAGATGCGTGAAAGATGAGCGTACCAGCAAAAGGCAACGAAAATGGAATCTGGGGTATCGCGATTAGCTTGCTTTCCTTTTGTCTCCCTCTCCTTCCTCTGGTCTCTTCTTTTTGATTGACGCGTCAATCAAAGGGTTTCTACTCACAGTAAAGATGCAGAGATGTCCTGCTCCAAGGGTTAATGTTGGCCTCCTGAATGGCAGCGTAGAGCTCGGCCTATGCTTGTCAGCGAACTGAAAACAGATCAATTGAGACACAACTTGGCAATCAAAAACTTACATTGTGCACCTCCTTCTCCTTCCCCTGGGTTTTTGGCACCTGGCTAGCTGGGACAGCAGCGGTTGCTATTTCGGGAGCAATCGCCTGCTTCTCGCTGCTGATGTGATCCGACCCGTGCGACGACATCTTCGCGGTGACTCTTGGGAAGAATGGCCGGGGTGAAGATGGAGAGTGGTGTCGAGAACGAGATCAGCACAACCCTGTGGCATCGTGATACATATACACGGTCGCAGCACAGCTTGATGGTTGTGAACCTTGCATGCAATGGAAATGGAAGCTTCCCAATGGAGTACCCCAGTTACCCGATTTAGTCACGGAGAACCTCTCTCCGTGGTCCAAAAAGGGTAGCGAGGAGCGTGTACCGCCCTGGGCAGCCCTGTGATTGAACGAAATTCTCCGATCGAATATGGGACACGGTTTCTCCGCAACAACTCACTGGTACCGTTCGAGAGAGCAGGATCGTATTTCGCCGGGCTGAACGCCGTGTGCGACGGTCCTGCGAGCGAGGCCCCAAGGACGCAAATACGCAGTGTTTGACGGACATCGGGCCTGCTTTCCCGGGGACTGGTTAGCGTCCGCGCCACGCCCAGACAAACTGACAGCCGAAGATGGGGAGACCTGTGAGCTGAGATGACAGGGCAGCTGGGCGGGTTGCAGGCTTCAACGGTTTTTCCTAGACCCAGAAAGGTCTGTCCCGAGCCATGGGAGTAATTTCGGGGAGACCAGCGCCGGTGGATGCAAACCAGTGCTCGGCCGGCGCCATCTTTTGCTCGCAGCTCACCCCTCACATCAATGGCCCAATTGCACGCCATGGTCTCGCGACACGGCGTGGTCTAGCCCCTGAAGGAGCCCGTGGGCCGGGGTAACCCTGCTGATCCTGGGGCACCCGCGCATCTTCGCGAGCCGTCTGCACGTTTTCTGGTTGCATGTCGCCTCCGCTAGTTTGCGGCCATCCCCTGTTCCAGGATCGCACCATGGAGAAACTGCAGATCCGCCAGCACGATCGAGGAGTCAGCTCCGGCAAGGGCCCGGAACAGTTGGTCTGTCGTTCCGTCAAGTCTTGACGCATCAACTGCCTGCCGGCATCGAGACCTCTGAAGGCTCGTTGTGCCCGAACCTTTCCTTCTCAGGCCCTCGGGGGATCCAATCGCTGGCCCAATCTAGGAAAGTCTTCGTATGTACCTCTGTATGAACGTCTTGTGCCGTGGGCATTAGGGGCGGCAATCAATGGTGCCCATGTCCGGCATCCTTAACCCCTGGCGCCGCTGGCCGTGCTCTGGCTTGTTTGCCCAGCCCTCCAAGCAGAAGCAAGTTTCTCGTCCTCACCCCAACCGACGAATTACACTTGTCGATGGGTGAGGGGATCACATGCATCGCTTGCAAGTTACTCGTGTCAAACGGTGGAGGACCCGCGCTTGCTGTTGCCCTTTCGAGCACGAATTTTCTAGCCCTGCATTAAAGGGCTCCAGTGGTGGCGCGCTTCCGGAGCCCTTCGAAAGCCAAGACGGATGCCGCCGCCGTTTGGTCCCGAGGGTGCAGCTCGGCGGTCCCTGTGTGAAGGTTGGGCCGTCCCCAAGCCGCACGGAAACCCATCGTTCAACGCCCCGAAGACTGCTTGTCTGGCCGGCGAGATCGAGCCGCCCTAGCGAAATTGTGGCACACCACGTACAGCGGGCTGCATACTAGTCCTGATTAGGAACTGGTTGGGAGCTGCCATCGGATTTCGCAAGGGCCCGCGGCCCGCTTCAGTGTGTCGTCGTTATGGTTGAGCGAGACCAGAATGGTTCGAGCGGCGCATTTCAAGCCTGAGAAGCTCTTCAAGGTTGGGGTGACGGGGCGAAGGACCCTGGCCTCTCAGGTGAGTTCAGCAAGCGACAGCTGTTGGCACGATCGGAAAGCAGGCCTCGACCCAGCTATCGGGCTCGGTATTTTTTCGACGTAGAGTTCTCGACTTCTTTGGGCAAGGTGCAAGCGCGTACAAATCCCATACCAAACACCAGCGTAAGTAGGTAGTCTAGACCGATGAGGGCATCCTCCTGAGTCTCGAACTGAGATCAATCGTGGGACTCTTCGACCCCGAGTGGCAAGGAGCGAGGGTTCAAAGTTCCTACACATTCCGTATCCATCTCTTCAGATGATGGAGTGAAAATTGAATGGACATTTCCAACATCGGTGGTCACTTACGTCAAGTAAAGACTGAAAGTAGAGACAATTCGGCCAATGGCAGTTGAGTATGGAACTTGAACCAAGAAGTCCATTCTGAGCAAGAAGAATATGAATCTAAACCTGACATTCCTGCATTCAGGGTTGCTGATATTGGAAGGAGCTGCCAGTGAGAAACGCCGAGAAAATGGAATGTCAGACCAAATGACAGTTCCACCTGCCCCGGAGCACCTTCCGACACTTGCAACGATCTGGCGCGGCACCGGATTCCACTGGCATCCATCCATCCATCCCACTGGCATACCACCACACCGACAGGCGCCTCTCGCTTACTGCCGCTCTTCCTGCACGCCTTATCTTTCTAGCTGGCACAACCCAACGTACCCGATGACACCATGACGTGCATAATGAATAGTCCGTGCCTGCAGTGGTTTTCTTGGCTCATGGGCTGTTGAATCCCAAGGAAGGTAAAATGTAGTAGGGGAAGACCAGAAAGGGAAGTGCGTCTTTATATTCGGGCGGAACTACCACGGAAGAGGCAACATTTTCCAAACACCTCGATATGATCACCAAGAGCCCCCTAAGTCTCCGTCTTGAATGCCACGAGTTCACAATGGCGATACCAGTAAATCTTCTATCTCTATTGTACCGCAGTGGGGCAAACAGACGCGGGAAGGGCCGTCAATGGGAGCGGAAGGCCAGTCCATGACGAGGACGGGCAGGAGCAAAGTACTATCTTGATGGAAGACGGCCCGTCTTTCCTTGGCGAGGAAGGAACCTAAGTGCTCGATGGGGGCGGATGGTGTGCTCCAGAAGAGCCCCACTAATGGGGAATGCAGTGCATGTGGTAAGAGGCCAACCCACCCGAAATCCTGCGCAGGCTTTCGTACCCCGACCTCGATGCTTTGACAACTCACAGGTTCGAAAGACGGCGCCCCTCGATGTTCAACAATATCCACCCCACCTCCTGCTAGCCAGCGATAGCCAACCGCGCCATGTCATAAAGTTTTACCTCGGAACAGTTTGAGGTCTTCGTCGGTCCCTTCAGCATTATCGTCTTTATTTCCAACGTCGGGACCGACAGCAGAGCCACTGAGACCCGATCTGACATCCTTCCATCGAGTCGTCGACCACGCCGGTCGTCCATAAGCCGTCGTGTACGTTGCCATACATTATCAAGGCGATCTTGGCAGTCGCAAGGCTGAGGAGGGATCTCTAGTTCTCTCCCTATTTTCCATTGCTGGCGGCATCACAAAATGTGCCTTGCGGGTGTAGTGTTACCCTACGCCGTTGAGGTGAGGCTGGCGTGCAATCCTAGTCCATCTATTGGCCCCCAAGGAACGAATTGAATGGCAGCTTCGTTGTTCGGGCTCTCGGTATCTTCTGCTGTTGACAATTGCTACCCTTCGTCTTTGAGGCGAGGCAAAAGTGCAATTCTAGCGCGGTCTATTGGTACCTACAGAACAAATATCATGCCCCGCGAAGGATCAAGGTGCTGAAAACTGGCTGCCAGTTGCCCCACTCAAGCCCTCCACGACGAGGCTCTGGTAGAGAGATGCTCATCGTTTCACTCATGCTCCCCTGGGGCCTCTTGTATAAATAGTCTGGGTTTACTCGAGGCCAACAAGTACTCCTTCAACCAAGGCAGATTGCCAGTCCTCTGTTAACTCTTCTGTCATTAACAATCCACACCAAACACGATGGCTAGCACCCTCAACACCCCAGCAGAGTTGGTCAACAGCTGCACCATTACCAAAGATGCAAACGTAAGGATCTGTTTATTCTTGCTTTGGATAGCCGTGTTGTCACGTAGACAAAGCGTGACGCATGCTAACAGGTTCGATAGAACGTTATTCTTGAGATTGTGTTGTGTGGTTCCTGCGATAGTTGCAAGAAGAAGAACTGCCAGTGTACTTGCAAGAAGTAAGGCGGCAGATGCACTGTCAACCTGTTGGCCGCAGTGATATTGGGGTTGGTTTGGTGTTTACGAGCTGTGCTCGGCGTCCTCATGTATGGAAGTTGGAGAGTCCCTGAACCAATGTTGCTGGGAAACATGGTGACAGGCACCGAAGAACCTGGTGGTTGATATCACTTAGACAAAGATATTGACATCAGATGGGAGCATGCGGGATGTCCCACTGCAACTTGCGAGCAACCTCTATCAACACCCCCGAGAAGACACCGTTTACCTCATCTATCTATTGCTCCTCAAACCCGCACCAAACCGGCTCTCTCTTCTCCAAGAAAGCATCCATCCCCTCCTTCGCATCCTTATTCTTCGCATGCAGCGCCATCACCCTCCCCGCCCACTCCACCGCATCCAAATACCCATCCCCGCCACTCCCCTCCACCACCCCCCCATCCGGCCCAACAAAAGTCCCCGCCGTCTATCCCCGCCTGCGTCCAAAAGGACCACTTTCCACATCGGGCTCTGCTGCAGCGACATCCGCACAAACCTGTAGACAATGCTAACCATCTCCCTGTCGAACGGGCGCACCCTCCCCTCCTCCCCTTCTTCCTCCCCCCCCTCCACAACCCTCACCCCACCCCCCACCTCCCCGACCCCCACATCCTCCGCCAACGCCATCATCCCCATCGCCCTCCCCCACCCCACCCGCCTCCCCACCGCCGTCACCGGACTCGAGCACGGGAGCCCCAGCCCCGCCCCGGGCAACCTCAGCCTCACCCCCTTATGCGCCACAGGCAGATCCGCCGTCAGCGCCAGCTGGAACCCGGCCGCAAGGGGCATGACCATGGATCCGCGACCACCACCAGCGCCGGGCTGCGGCGGATGAGGGTCATGACTTGGGCGCAGAGGCGGAAGGTCTCGGAGATGGCTGTGGGGGGTGAGGTGCGCAGTTCGCGGAGGTCGTGGCCCGAGCTGAAGACGGGGCCGTGGGAGGCCAGGATCAGGGTGCTGGGGAGGGTGGCGCGGTGGTACGCGAAGGTGTGGGATGAGGTGAGCCAGGTGTAGTCGTCGTCTTCTTGTTCTTCTTCTGGTTGGTTGGGGTTGGGGTTGGGTTTGGTGAGGGATTGTTCGAGCTTGGAGAGGATGGAGGGCTTGAAGGGCGGGAGGAGGAGGGTGCGGCCGGTGATGGGGGATGTGTTGGCTTTGATGAGCTGGTCGCGGAGGGAGCGGAGCTCGGCTAGAGAGAGGGCGTTGCGCCGTTGGGGTGTGTTGAGCGTGATGTACGCTGCGCGTCGGGGTAGTGCTGGGAGAGACATAGCAATATATTACCCAGTCGATGTTGTATGTGGCGAACTGCAGTGATGTCAGATGGGCCTGGAGTTGCGGTTGATGTTTGAGTGATGAGACCATCATGATGGATCATGGATGTTGACAACCGGGGAGGGGTAGCCAAGGGGCTAACCCTAACCCAGCTTTGTAGTCGTGCAAGGAGGAGATCGGTCGAGTGTTTCTGTATTGCATCATAGATATGAGGGTAATCTTCTGGGATTTTTGCATGGATAACATCTGATTTATTGTTATTTTTGTGGCTCACGGTAGCAGCATCGTAACCACGAGGAGCCAAATCTCAACCCAAAATGGCTGGCAAGATTCCGCTGTTCACTTAGATCCTCATGGATCACGGTCGGCAATCCTCCACTACCTACATCCCCATATCTCAAGCGAGCAATAAGTCCTTCCTAATCAAGCCGCAAGCCTTGAACGCGCCTCCGGGCCCAATAGAATGCCAAACCTAAAACCCAAAGTCCCACCAAAATGAGCGCTTGTGTTGGTGCAAAGGCCGCTCCACGGATAACCACGAATCCGCTCACAAGCGCAAAGATTACAGGGATCAGGACGAAAGGCTTGTAAGGCCTCGCCAGTTCGGGCTGGCGGTACCGAAGAATGATGGCGCCAAGGACCGTCAGAAAGAAGAAGGTATACTCTCCTAGCCCGTTGAACGTCAGAAGAGCGCGGAAGTTGCCAAGCAGAATGTAAATTGCGCCGAGGGCAGTCGAAAGAATGAGAGCGTTGATGGGCGCGTCGGATTCTGGCTCCTTATCGGGGTCTCCCTCTACAACCTCTCGGTGAGTTCCAACGCGCCCGACGACGCTGAGGACACGAGGGAGCCAATTCTGGTTGGCTGCCGCGACGGCCATGCGGCCAGCAACGAAGGAGTTGCCGAGCAGAGAACCTGCAACAACAAGGCAGATCAAGACGGCTGCTGCAATCCCAAACCCCCGACCAAGCAGGCGTGTAATAGCCGTCTAGGTAGATCATTAGTAACTGCCCTGATACTGCAGGAAATGGCAACGGCAACTTACCACTGCTACGCTATCGGTCGTTGCAACTACATCCCAGGGCAGCAGGATGTAATATGCCGCATTTGCGGTGAGGAAACACAGAATGATACTGGGCAGGGAGGTGTTGATGGCCAGGGGCAGTTGGCGAGCAGGGGCCGAGAGTTCTGCAGAAATGTAGATGGCCTAGGGGTGAGCGTGAGCATTGTCCAGTCCTCTTAGATTTCCTCCAAGGTTGCTTACCTTGTCCCATCCAGAGTACGCCCACAGGGCCGCATACAAAGCTGCAGAGAGGTGTCCAAAGATATCCCACTGGCCCAAGCTGTCCCAATGAGTGACGCTGCCGTCTGGATTGACACTGTCCCGGGAGCCAAACCAAGGCTTCTTTCTCCAGTCTCCGCCGCCGACTTGTTGGTGCGGATCAACAAGCTGCAGGATGACAACCACTATACCGGCCAGGACGATGGCGGCAATGGTGATAAACTTGGTGGCGACAAAGAAGTTGTTGAGTTGTGTGCTCGTCTTGGTGCTGATGGAATTGGCCACGCCGATGAAAGCTAACACCGCAATCGAGAGCAGCTTGTGCACAATCCTGTCCCCTTCGCCCGTCACCCCAGCAGCCGAGTAGATGCTCTCAACAAAGACGATGCTAAGGATGGCCAGGGTAGCAGGCATGACAGCAACCACCCACGTCCAGGCCGCCAAGAACCCAAACACATCCCCAAAGATGTACTTGAGATACGGCTGCACGCCCCCTAAAAAAACATCAGCATTCTGTGACTATTACCAGTCCCCCATCTGAATCATCATCTCCACATCTTACCTACCCTCACCGGGAATCGCCGTGCCCAACTCAGCCATCGTACTCGCTCCCGTCCACGCCAACACACCACCCACCAACCACACCACCAACGCCACCCCAGGCGACGGCACATTCGTATCAATCGACCCGGGCGACGTAAACACACCACTCCCAATTACGATGCTGATGACGATAGCAAACGCCTCGACCGCGCCCAGGTTGCGCGTGAACGTCCCGGCGGCCCCGCCGCCGAGAGCCCTCTCCTCGGCATCGGCGTCCCCAGCCGTCCCGTCGCCTACGGTTCCCGCGGCGGTCCGGTCCCAGCCCGGTTCATCACTAGCCGTCCCCGCGAGCAGCGGCCTCCGCTCGGGGGACGCGGCGGCTCCGTCATTGCTCGGTGCAGACATGGCCGAGTGCGGGGGTGCGGATCTGGCGGCGGCGGCCAACCTGGCTCGGATGTTTGCGAGGTGGTTGGTGGCGGTGCTGGTGGCGGTGTTATCGCTATCGTCACTGATCTCGGACGGCGGCGGGGGACTGGATGGTGGGGTGATGAGGAGGGAAAAGGAGATGAGCGACGATGGTGGTTCGGGTGAATCCAAGGGGCTTGGCGGGGGCGCTGGTGCTGCTGTTACTGCTGGGGATGTGGGTGGTATCGCCGGGCGCTGGGGGCCCACTGCCGCTGTCGCAGCGCCCCGGAGCACGCCATCTTCACCCGCGTGGCGCGGTGCCCAGCTGCAGGAACCGTATTGGCTCCCGTGGCCGTTGTGCATGGGTCGCGGCAATGAGCCGCCGGCTGTTCTTGGGGGTTTTGGCTCCCGCATGTTTCGGGGAACAGAATGCGGCGTTGATTGGTCGGATTCGGGTGTAAGTTGCGATTGATGAAGACGCCGTCGATGAGAATCGAGGGCGTTGTTGGGTCTTGGGGAATAGAGCACTGGTCTGCGGTTTGATGAAAAGTACTTCTTCGAAAGGTCGATGGCTTGAAGTTGTGATGCTATTGTGGCCGATTCAGGTGGCACCAGCACTAAAAATTGTAAACCGGTCAAGAGAACAGAGAGAATGTGATATGGTTGCTGGTTGTTGGGACTAATGAGTCTGCAAACCTGTAGTAACCAAGCCCCTCGAGCCCGGGTGAGTAAACTTTGTCGAGTCTATGACCAGCAAGTGACAATCCGTGCTAAAAGAAACGTTGACTTCTCGACACTGATGCCAAAAGCCGGCGGTGTGTTTAGTACGGCAATAGCGCCCCATTGCTCTTTCCTTCGCTCGCATTTCAAAGGAATTTGTGTCATCAAAAGATACCTGAATTAATTTCAATACACTCCTAACATGATCCCATCACAATATGGCAGAAATCGCTGGCTGGAAAGTTGGATTACATTATTACTCCATGTTCACTGCCCAACTGTGGCAGAGAACGTGGAAGGAAGAATAACTAAGGGAAAAGCAGGAATAAGACAGAAAAGAATGAGCAAAAAGAGACAAGCACATAGCAATGAGAGAGCATGGGCCGGTGCACAAAAACTGGAATGCAGCAGTTTGGGGTCATCCAAGGAAACCATGAAAACGCTACAGGTTCGCCAATGCAGAATATCTAAGTTCTAGGGATGTATGGAAAAGCAGTCGCTTCAACTTTGACCCTAGGTGTCTAGGTCCTTGGCTCAACGACATTTGTCCTCTCGCTTAATACTTCGGTCTGGTCGTGTTCGAACTTGGTCTGTATAAGAGTCTCTCTAATTGTACGGGGTCGCCAACCTAATTGTACGGGGTCCGCACAGACTACATGGATTGCGCCACACCTGAGACGGGCTGAGCCTCGGGTTATCGAAGTGTCGACACCGACGCCGGCACGAGGACGTGGACGGGGCTCGGGGGATCGGGGGACTACAGGAAGACGGGGAAGAGGTCGCGGACGGGGACGAGGCCAGCAAAATAGAGTAGACGAGACCCAAGGAGGTACAGGTCCAGCGTCTAGTGCAGCCATACAGCTCGGGACGCCAGAACCGGACACCCCCTTAGCTAGTTGACAGATAGAAATCGATGCCTGAGTTCCCTGCAATAGATCCCCTCAGGTGTGGCGCAATCCATGTAGTCTGTGCGGACCCCGTACAATTAGGTTGGCGACCCCGTACAATTAGAGAGACTCCTGTATAAAGGGCGAGCATGTCAAAATGGCGGAGAGCACTAGAGCCGAAGAGAGAGGTTGAAAGGATGGTGGCTGTAACGGGCTGTGCCCGAGGTGGGCCTCGGTAACCCTCGGCCAGCTCAACGTACAAGCACGGTCCACCGAACCCCTGGATGAAGCTATTCCCAGTTGCCCCACAGCACACCGAACATTCTAGCAATGCGCTCGGGCCACCGCACTCGCGATTATAAAGCAGCCCCACGAGCTGCCAGACTCTCTCATCTTTCCTTTTCTCCTTCAAGCTTAGTGTACTCGTAGTCGTCAGATAGTTGCAATATACTCCTGGGACCGTTACAGTGGCTATACTTCTCAAGTGGCGTTAGACAGAGATGGTGATTGGTAGATACCAACCTCTGTAGTGAGGGTTCCATTAGTTAGTGTCTCGCAATAACTTGTAAGTGAACCTTGCAGAATCCGTCACAAGGTGGCTCCCGCCACTGCACTGGGCCAAAGTACCTATGTGGAGCAAACTTGAGGGAAAAAGATGGTCATGCAGCGCCAATAAAAACACCGGCAGATGTTTCGATCACAAGAAAAACATATTGCTTTTCATCTAGAATGTGGGAAAGGAAAGTGTGATCTATGAAAGGTCGAAACACCAAGGAAAAAAATGTACGCCAACCTCCCGACGAGGGAGGAAAGACAGGCAATCTACGCCAACGGCGAGACTCGAACTCGCAACATTCAGATTAAAAGTCTGACGCGCTAACCAATTGCGCCACGTCGGCTTTCGAATTTTCTTGTAACATTAAAAGCTTAAGCTTATAACAGGGTAAACAGGCCCGAGAAAGAAATGAACGGAGATCTCCGTGGCAGAACTGCACTTAAATGTTTTGGATCATGCAACACCGAAATCAATCTGAAACCCCCAACTCCAACATACATCATCATCATCAACTTGCCCGCCGAGCAAACCCCCACCAAACACGAGGATCATGCGCGAGCGGGTGCCGCAAAGCACGCAACGAAGTCACCAGGCGGTGGCGTAGAAGGGCCGTGTGAGCAATAGTCGAAACATCCTACAAACATCCACCATCCATGCACTTGTTTGACCAGCGAAGATCGCAGCTCCATGTGACCAGAAATAGGCAGCGGGGACGCGGACGCAGACGCGGACGCGGGCTACTGGCATGGATGGACTGGCTTTTGCTTGTTGGACGAGGAATGTCGCACAAGCAGTTCTCTATCAAGGAAAGCTCGGAAAGTTCAGTCAGATAGGCGGCCTGCGAGGCTGCAACTGGCCGTGGCTTGGCCCCCCTGCCTCCCGGCCAGCAGCCGCAATCTGGGTCCTGACGTCAGTCAGGGGCGACGCGCCCCGGTCCCCCGTTCTTCCTTGAACATGGAGCGCGCCAGCGGCGAAAGGGAGACCCGATCGATCGAGCGGACTCAGGACCCGATGCTTCGTCCCAACTTCTAGTTGGCATCATGCCAGTTTATTTGATCTCTGGGCATTCTTTTTCTTGCTGCTGCTCCTCGAAGACTAACGACCAAAGAGGTTCCTATTTACACATTCACCTGGAAACCAGTAAGTAATCGTGGGTTGATGCAGGGGCACGGTTCCCTCCGCTCCCTTTCTCAAGAACGTAACAAAAAGCACGCCCTTCCGTTAACGCCTGTAATGTGGTCGTAACACAAATGCTTCCCATCCTAAACACCGCTCGCCGAGTTCGTTTGCCAGTAATCCCCGCTGCCCTGGGCCGTTCCGATGAAAAGTCCATCCCCGGATAATTTTCTCTGTGCTCAAAAAAACCGTTCGGATCGAGGCCGCTCGCGTGGTGGTATCAACGTCTTTCGGTCGGTATCAAAACAAATCCGTGCACAATAACCCCAACTCCTATAAAACCCGCGCAAGCCGTAACAAAGCCAAATCAAAATGCCTGTCGGCGGCCGACGTTGAAGAAGGCCCGAGGTTGGTGAACCCGGGTGGGGTTCCACAACTTTCAGTGCCAATGACGCAAGTCCTCCGTCGATTCAGACCCATGGGATGGGCGGTAACGTGCCATCCTCGGCCGCGATGGCGCGTGACCCTTGCAGTCGTCCTTCCGTAGGTGTGCTCGGTCGGTCAAGACATAGTCGGCGGCGGTAGCTAAGCTGTCCAAAAACGCCGTTGCCGTCTGTCCGGTCGCCGGGCTGCAGTACGGTTCGAGGTGGACTGCCTTGGCACGGCCGTAGTATTCGCGAGGCCGTCCATCACATACTCTTCCCTGGGGTCGACCTTCCCTTTCCTTCTCTTCCAAACCCTCCAGCGTAGCGTTGCTCATTTCTTGCTCCGGCTGGAAGACGTGATCTTGCTAGTCGACATCAAGTCTCCGATGTACTTTTGAAGAAACTTGTTATGGCTGTCGAGTTTGTCATGCTCTTCCTTTACCGCTTCGATGCGGTTGAAGAGCGTGACTAAAGAGTCTTGCAATGCTTTGGCGTGCCTTCGCGTAGCTAAAAGTTAGCCCGCTGTTTCGTTCTCCAGAGCTGGCCCCGGACTGTCGGTTGCAGGCGCGAAGCCCAAAGCCACGAGGCCTCACCGAACTCACCTCTCTAGCTCCGCCCTTGCCTCCTTTCCGAGGGTTTGAATGTCTTCGCTCGTTCGTCTCGGGCTCATGGCCCTCACATCGTCCGGGCCGGCGTGCACGTCAACCGGCCCAACGTCTGTGGAATCGCGGGGAACAATCATGGTGCCGCTGCTCTTGCGGCTTGGCAGCTTGGGTCGCACAGGCTTCGGCGCGTGGATGGGTTGGTCGATAGACGTCCCTGATGATGAATCCGACCAGTCCGGACTTGCTGTTTTGTGCAGACTGGCGTCTCCCATTATGGATTAGGTGCCGATGTGGCGTATCTGATATGAGACCGGTCCGGTGGTCTTAGCCTTGGGAGCGGGCTCGCAAAAGGTTCGAGTAGTAAAGGGCCAGCGAGGTCTTGAATGTCATGAGCGGAAAATGGCCAGCTCCTCCGAACGAAAGTCAACCCAACGAAACTTGTGTTGCCACCATCCGACGGGAACGGAACGTGTGGCGCAGGGTTGGGTGTGGTCGGGGAGTTGGGGGGTGATGAGTTCGCGGATGGGTTGGGGCGGTTTCTGGGATGGAGGAAGATGGAAGTTCAGGGCGCAAATTCAGAGCGGAACCTCTGAGGGGTAGCGCAAAAGACAGCTCACAGTCTGCTCTGGGCGGCGAGGCGGTGGTGGGGCCTCTGGCCAGGGCCGCGGGTCCTGCTCGTGGAGTCGTGGGGCCGACTGGGACCGCCGCCAGCAAAATGTCGAGGGACGTCAGTCGCCCAATCACTCGGCAAAACGGCGAATTACTGTGGAGGCCACCTTGGACAGCGGATACCGGTTCAGGAGTGGCCACTCGAGGCGGGAAACAGCTGACCGAAAGAGGACAGGATTGAGGCGCGGGAAAAGCCGGCGGAGCGCAATTGGGCACTGGCTGACCAGGCTTTTGCGGGAAGACCTAAGACCTGGTCGTGGTGGTGGATTTGTGGTGTGTGGACAGCAGGAAGCGGAGGAGAAGCGTGAGAAGGAGCGAGCAACGGTAGGTAGCGGACAGGGTGGAGTTGCTTTAGGCGGGCTGCTGCTGCTGCTTTACTCGAGATGGGTTGACGGGGGCTGGTCAGGAGGTGGCTCTGTCAGTGTCTGTGTCCTGTTTCCACTGCCGCGATCAGCAAGCCGTGCCTTGGTGCACACTGGTTGCGAGGGTCCCCCTCGGTGTGGTCACAGGAGCGGAGAACCGGGACTTGTTTTGGGCTGCTTCCTGTGGAAAGCGGGACGACGATCGGTCGAGAAGTAACGGCGTTCAGGGTCAGGGTCAGGGCTAAGGGCTTGAGAAATTGACGCCGTTGTTTCCCACAAACAGGCCGTGACGGTCGGGTTTATTCTGGTACTTGTGTACTGGATCTAAGAATACCGCCGTCGGGTCGAAGCGAAAGGAAGCAAAAGAAGGTTTTCTGAAACATCGGCAGCGATGAAGCAGGGCGGGAAGGGGAACGCCTGCCAAGGGTCCAACAAAACTTGCAAGCTTCATCGGTCACGTTGGGTTTTTGGGCGTTTGAGGTCCCACTGTACCGGAAAAGAGCGTAATTTCCAAATCGATAGTTTCGTTTCTCCGCCCGTTGCCTGCGCTCCGGTCTCATCAGTGCCTCAGGCATGAGCCGCCCACACGTGTCGGCGACTGCACAGGCGCAACGACAGCGGCCAGGGATCGGCACAATGACGCCAAAATCCAACACATTCATTGGCGCCACTAGGGCGGGTCTGCAAAGGACCCCCAAAATCGGCCAGCAGGGGTCGGCACGGTCAGATCGTCTTCGTTTTGCACCAAGATGAGGTGGCTGCAGGATGGGAATTTTTCATCCACCACGACCGAGAATTCATTTCCGACATCTTTGCTGCCTTGCCAACTTGCCTGCGGTTGCTTTAAAGCAAGGCACCCGGGTAGAGTGCCTTCTCGCTGGGTGTTCCTTCCGAAAACTTGGACAACCTGGACAGCCTGGATAACCCTGCGCAGTCTGCAGCTTTCTTTTTAATTCTTTCGCTGATCGGATGCGGCCAGTAGCGCCAGGACGCACAACTCGCAGATTCCATCGCAAACTCTGATTTCCGCCCCCAGCCCGCCAGCCCGCAGAACCAGCAAAGCCATGCCACACGGCGGATTGGAGAAACCGCCGCGGCGTCTTGGTTGCAACTCTACCTTCCCTGTTTTAGCAAGCGTGAATCCAGGGCGCTTCCCCGCCGCCACTGACGAATGAGCGGAGTGAGCATTGGACCCTGATTTATGAGCCTGAAAAAGGGAATATCGCACTGTGTCCCCTCCATGCACGAGACAAACCCAACGTCCCCGAACAAGAAGGCGATTCGCGGAGAAGCGCCATTCCTATCCGGAGGATTTCAGGACGTCACCACCCGAAACGGCAAGACGGGCGATTCTCCACCCCCATGCCCGCTCTCGTGATAGTTCTGAGTCTCCCTTGACTCATGGCATAAGTAACCGGTCGTACCATCACGTTTCCCCTTCCCGCGTCTCACGGTTCACAGCCCAGCCGGTCCCGTAGGTTGGTCGGTTGCTCGTTGCGGCAGGGGTTTGCCGCAGGGAAAGGCTTTGGCTCTGGGGGTCGACAACGAAGGCGGCGACGATTGATGGAAGCAAACATGACCTCATCTTCCCCGGGCGACGACACGCGCCGCCATCTCGCAGCACTGCCAACCCAGCCATCGAAAAACGTGAGGACGGGGGCTCGAGCCAATCCCAGGCCATTTCGCGGGGGAAGCTGCCGGTTCCGCACCTCAGCCGGTGACCTCCCGCCGTACTGGCAGTTTAGAGTTGGTGCCCGTGGGTGGAAAATAGGCATCCTCGGACATGGGCATCAACCCGAGTGATGGCAAGGGCTGCCGCCAGCGCCAGTGAGAAAGCAAGCTCACCGCCTGAAGCTGCCAAAATGGGCGCCGAGCTTTCTCGAGAGGCACTTGCTTGAACGTCACCAGGTTGTTGTTCGACCCCTCCGAAAAGACAAAGCGTCTTGGCTGTCGCCGTCACCGCCTTGCCCGAGGATTTCTCGCCCAACCACTTGAGTCGCACTGTGCCGACACTTGTCGATCGCTCCACGGCCGACATACCCGAGCCAATCTTTGCCGACAGCGAGGAACGAATCACCGTTGTGTTACACCGTGTCACCTGCCGACCTTTTATCGGGAGGAAAAATCAGTCATGGTCCCCCAACCCGAGCCGCGATTTGTTCTCACAACGCCAGTCTGGCGGTGGCTCGCGCCGCGAGACACCAGAAGCACACTGGCACGTCGACCAACCCAGAGTCATGTTTTCTCAGCGAAAACTCCCGTCTTAGTCTCGTGTTTTCTTCTTTGGGTAAGCTGAAAAGGGCTGCTGAGCGAAGCCCCACGTGTGCCACCCAAGGAAGTTTAAGGAGGCCTTGGGGTGGCTGCGTTCTGCAAGGCAGCCCGGCACTCGGCACACGGTCATCTGCCAAGCCGGGCCTCACGTTGCTGGGATGAGCCACATGTAACACCCAACCCTCAACCGCGCGCTGGCAAACAACATTCCTCTCTCTGCGCGTGCAGGCGTGCAACCGCCCAACTGTGCTCGGAGGTTGATCCCCGGTTCCATTCCGTCCCGCCTTAACTCGTTACTCGAAGGAGACAACGAATCTCTGTGCTATTCATATACCCTGCAAGGGCCAATAACGAAATACGCCCATCATCATCAACTTCCTCGGAAACCACAACCTCCGTCCGATCGTCAGTCCCATCGACCCCACAGGCAGGCTCTCGTTAATATCGCCCACAGGCTACCAACACGCAGGGCTGAACCACAATTGCCTTGTTAGGCCAGGCTGGGACAAGCTCTTCGGAGCCGGAAACCTTCTGCACCAACATCGCCGGGTACCCCTCCCTTTCCGTCATCGGTCCGCCACAAGGATTCGAATCAAGGAAGCAGCTTACACTCGTCCACTGGGTAAGGAGGCAGGGAGGTAAGCTTGCCAACGGTGCCAAGTTTAGCGCTGCCAAGGCTAAATCGAGACGGGTCGCGCCGTCCGAGCACGAATCTGTAAGTTCGCTTCCATGCCGAGTCCCAGTTGTCGAGAGCGAACATACACGAGACATACCACGTCGGCAAGGGGCTGCGAGTGAAGGGCGTTTCGGTAAGTGTTTTGCAGGTCTGCTCACCGACCGGTCTAGCGAGTCTGGCCACGACAAAGGTGTGGGTCCCAGCCACCTGTGACAGCGGACAGGATGTGTGAGCTGGTATGATGCCATATCTGTTTGGAGTCCGCTGCCGTCTCCGACACTTGACCGATCCTTGCTCCACGCTGCCAGGCATGATGTCAGTTGGCTTTGAAATCACTGCTCGGCCAGATACGGCTTCCCCGTGGGCAGACAGCTTGCCTTGTTTTGTTGAAGTGAAAATTCAAATCTCACGTGTATCAAATAAAGAAACAAGAATCTCAATCCCCGACAGCACACATAATGCGCCGATCCGAAGCCGGCTCCTCCAGTTAATGCTCCGCAATTAAGCTTCGTGATATGACGGTGGAGCCAAAGCAGCCCATTTCGAGTCAGTACGTGGGAGTGCATGAGGATTGCGGGTTGTCCGAAGGGTGAATTAAGTGGCCCTGGAATATTTATCAACAAACTGAAACATTACTCGTGAACGAAACCCACTCCGCCAGCCTTTTTTTCTGATGCCTGTCCTTGTCTCTCACAACAACAAGTGGCTCACAACGTTCGCGGCACATACCGCAACTCAGAAGGCCCGAATCCTCACGCCGTCGTCATAATACAAGCGCCACAAACTCAACTATAGGCAGCTCCAGTGGTACTCCACAGCAATGGTTGTGTGGTGGACTCGGTGCGTCACTGCCTTTTCCCACTCTTTCTTGCAATGTGAAAGTATTGGTGGAAGCTAGAACTCATTGACTAAAGGGAATACGTGGGCTTGCCCATCCCTGGCTGTTGACTTTAGCCACTCCTGCATTTCTCGAGCAGGTCCTAAGGTCGAGGACATGGAATCATCGTGGCAGCGGTGAGAATGTACGTACCTATTCTTATCGCCCTGGTACCTCCATCGCCTGTCTAGACAATCGCATGCAAGTTACTGTCGTCAAGTCGGCGACAAATTAGCATTATCGTTGTGGAGCAAACCCATCCAACACGCGATACATGGGTCAAAAACTGTTCATCCTCATCATCTGTTTGAGGATGAATGAATGAACATATCTGATGAAACGCAATACCCTCCTGTCGAATCTCTGGGACAGTGAGCGCGCTCTTCTAGTTGGGGGATCTAGCCTCCGAAGGTTATAAATAGAAAATACTCAGAAAGCGATAATGTAATGATAGTATCGTCGAAGAGGAGATACAACGAGAGCCAAGCCTGAGGCTCCGGTTAATAAAGAACAAGTCAATAAGCTCGAAGGCGAAGGCATGATAACCAACCACCCCGCAGACCCGGAGCCCCCAATCAGAAGTGGCCGAATGTCGCGCGGGTAATTACCCCTTCCTCTTGTCCGCAAGGAGAACCGCTTTATGGCCACCAAGAACAACCATAGCTCGCGCGCGGGGCTTCGCGTAAAACGAAGAGGTGCTAACACAGCAAAGATCGCGCTAGTTTTAGACGAGTTCTAGGATAGCATGATATGTTGACATTCAACAAATTCAACAACTCTGACGTCCTTCGCGCATAACACCAAAGTTAAGTGCATAAAGTCGAGTTGCAAAAAGGTTGTCCAGAATGACCGTCCCGGGTCCGTCCAACTGCTGGTTCTAGCACTTGTGTGATAATGTCGGCTGGGGGTAAGCCATCCAAGGTATACGAAAAAGACCCCATGGGTAACAGGGACAGTCAGTGTCTTTGTTAGGCAGCCAAGATGACATACCTAAACAGGAATATTGCTCAATGACAATGCCCATGCTACGGGCACAACAAAGACTATTTCTCAATGTCCATGGGCCACAATGATGGACATTCACAACATATATACAGGACCGTGTCTTCAAGGCTTGCTCTGTTTCGAACCTCTGCGTTTCCGGACTCTTGGGCCTACCGCTTTATATACTTATACAATAGCCATCCTTCCCGTCCGTCGGTCACTTCCGTTTGAAGCGTTTGAACCAAACCTCAACACTACATCTCATCCCGAACAACAGTTCAGAATCGCCATGTCTGCCAACGCGAGCAGTCCTTGGAGCGGCAACCACGAACCGCTCCGTATGGATGAGACGGGCGAGGCGCCCCCTGCCTACGCTCGCGTACACCGTAACAACGGCCGCAACCCGAACTTGCGGCAGATTGCCACTGAGGGGGACTTCTGGATGGGCCTGGCAGAGCTCGAGCCCTGGATGTCGTACTTTGGCTTCCGGACTATGGGCCCGATCCTGGCGGCGCTGTTCAAGCGCCAAAACGAGCTCGAGAGGCAACGCAACGCCCTCGAACAGGAAATCGACATGGTTTCACAGTTGATCCGCTACTTGGCGCTCAATCTCCAGCATCCCGAGGAAGCCGCCATGCACCAGAATCCGGTCGGCGAGCCCCGAGAGCAGTGGCAGCAGCCGCAGTGTCGAGAGACCATCCAACGCGGTGGATCACCTAGCCGCAGCCAGGCTTTTCAGCAGGTTGCTCCCCCGGGGACCATGGGCTCTGGGGTTGCTCCTTTGGTCGGCACGACCCCGAGGGCGGATATCCAGGACGAGAGCGCTGCGGACCCTGATATCTGGCAGGTGGTAGCCCCTTGGGGGACTGCTGGAGTCTCTCATCGGAACACGCACATGGGTTAGCTGCGGGGTGGGCTGGGTGGAAAAGGAACGACAACCCGGGCTGCCTGGGGATTAAAGGTCGTTTTGAAGTTGAGCTGCTCACCCAGGTTCTCACAGTCCAGAGTCCCACACCCCCGTCAACTGAGGCGTGGGTGGGCTGAGCAGCAGCTTCTACAAAAAATTGAAAAGTAAATTGGAAGGACAAGGTTATTTGCATTTGGAGCCGTGCCTGGGTGGAAGTTTGGGGAAGTTTGGTGACTATGTAATAGCTGCTATATCGCGAACGTTTGCAAAGCAGGGGGAAAAAGGATATGTTGAAGGCAAAAGAGATAGGACTTCGTTTCTATTACTCTTAAAGCTCCCAACGAATCGACGAAGACATCACCCATGTAATCATGCCAACTATGGTCGCTTTCCTACACTACATGGTGAAGCTTGGGAAGCAAAGGATGCCCCTTCGGCCACGAAAGCGACCGAAAGCTTAAATAGCTGCACAAAGAACTCCATTTCATTCAGTGATGCAGGACAGAATCAGTACACTAACAGAAGAAGGATATGGGGCCATTATTGAGTGAGGAAGATGAAGTTTGCCTCGCTCGAAGAAGTATTAAAACAAAGAGACCAAGCAACAAACTTAGATCCAACCCCTTTTTACACTCCGCCCGCGAAACCAGCACCACCATGGGCACAGTACCGCCGACCAACGGAAAATACCCCAACTACATCGGCCAAACGAAAGACTTTATCAACTAGTCTTTCAGCAAAGGAAGTCTCCCATTCTTCATTTTTCACCATGGAAAAGAAACGAACCTCCCTAGAGCTCTTGCAAGCTGAACTTCCACCAACCCAAGAAGAGCAAGTTGCAGTAAATCCACCGTTACAAAAACGACATCTGGGTAGTGCTGAACCACGGATAAAGCGAGCACGATTGACACGGCAGAACCTCGCTGAATTCAACAAGATGAGCAAAAAGAATCCAGACCCCATAAGCGATTCCAGATCAACCACGGTCAGGCCTACGTCGACAATAACGTCAGGATTTGCCGATAAAGCTCGTAGGAGCGGAATCCTCGACCCTCGTAGCTCGAAGCCGCCCAAGAATCTCAACGATATCCGGAAACGGTATGCTAAGTCCCGTGTTACCCCTTCACCGTCCCAGTAGGAATACGAACGATATACCAAGAAAGTTGGGACAGCTAAAAATGAAGCAACAGTAGTTATCGAAACTAGTTGGAGACTGCTAAAGGAATATAATGTTGATGATGATTACGACCAAGTATATAACCAGGACTGTAATGGCTTGCCAGAAGACCTCGGATTCAAGTACGGCTTATCCACACTCCAGCCTGATTTCGTTGAAGGGCTCGAAAAAGAAGAATTCCGCCCTTTCCCGGTTGACGAATACGTCCCCGGCGCGGCCCTTTACCAAAATGATCCCCATTCCATAACCTTGCCACAAATAGCTGGAGAATGGCCTGGAAATATGAGAGAGGCCACAATACAGAGCGCCTGCAGTGGAGCAGCGATGGTTTACGCAAGATCCCAAGCACTCTCTTATATGGGAGAAGAGGATCCCTCAGGTTACGCCTCAGTTACAACATTTACAACAGATGGTACGAGCCTCAACCTCTACGCTCATTATGCTACCCCAGTAGAGGATGACGAGAGCAGAGTCGAGTATCACCAGTATCTCATCTCGTCAACCAACCTCACGAGCACCTACCAAGGCCACAAAGATGGAAGAAGAGGTCTCAGAAATGCTCAAGACTATGCAAATGACCAGTCAGAACAGCTACGAGACCAGTTGAAACAATACTGGAAGCAGAATCGTAGTAAGCTCCCATCAGTCGCCGTAGGAGTTTATTCACTGGAGGTGGAACCACGACCACACGCAATGGAAGGAGACGAAGACGCGAGCCCGCACGTGCTATAAAAGAAGCAGAGAACTAAGATGGCTACGAAGTCGTCGAACCCCAACAACCGCGGGTTTGCCTTAGTTAGAACCAAACAAGCTTCACCACAACTTATGATATATAGGTAGTTACCTATGCCAGTGTTTACAAGTGTTAAAGTGCCGCGAAAGGTGGAGGGTGCAAGCAGGGTTTTCGATTTAATAAAAGGAAAAGGAAAAAGGGCAACCATATGGGTTAGTTGGGAATGCAGTGTTAGGGACTCTCCAAAACTGGTGTGACAGTTCGGGGAGTTTGTGTCATGGATCGTTTTCCGACGCGAGTTTCGTTGCACTGCTTTTCGATTCGCACAACGTTACAAAATCCAGCAAAGAATTAGTAAGCTTAAATTAAGCATTTGTCGTTCCCGAGGGGGTTAAGATCGGTGGGTCTTCTCCAGCCTTAGCCGAGGGCGATCTCGCAGTTAAATTGTTAGAATAACAGCCGAACCCCCGGTCCTTTTCGGTCTCGGAGGGGGATAGAACGGATAGACGTGTCACCTCACAACAACCACACATTCTCCCCCCCGCCCTCTCTCTCCTTCTCCCCTCACCCATTTCCTTCCTCGAGGGGCTCCGGGACAGCCATGTCGCACTCAGTATCACCCGAGCCGGCGACATCGCTGAATCAGACTCAACTTGAGAGCAAGCCTCATACTGTCCAAGTCAACTCCGACCCGGACCCCACGGACGATGCCGTCTTCAAAATTGACCAAGATGCTGCCATTGGGTCTGCCCCGACCACCGATACCATGGCCGTGGCCGTCGACGACGCCCTAGAACGCCGCATCCGCCTCAGGGTCGACCTCCGCCTCTGCACCATCGCCGGCATCCTCTGCAGCCTCAACCTGCTCGACAGCGGCGTCCTCTCCAGCGCGGCCGTCACCTCGATGCTGTCGGACCTCGGCCTCGACCAGGGCAACCGCTTCTCCGTCTCCATCTTCATCTTCACCATCTCCAGCATCGTCTTCCAGCTGCCCTCCACCATCGCCGTGCGCATCCTCGGCCCCCGCCTCCACTTCACCCTCATCACCCTGGCCTTCGGCATCATCACCCTCTGCACCGGCTTCGTCCGCACCTGGCAGCAGATGATTGTGCTGCGCATCCTGCTGGGCGCCGCCATGGCCGGCGTCTTCCCGGGCCTGTCGTACCTCATCAGCACGTGGTATCCGCGGCGCGAGCAGCAGCTGCGGTTTGCTTTCATGCAGAGCGGCGAGGTCATCATCCTGGCCACCGGCAGCCTGGTCAACTACGGCTTGAACGGCCTGGACGGGCGCAGGGGCCTGGAGGGCTGGCGCTGGATGTTTGTCGTGCAGGGGCTCTGCACTTGCGTCATCGGCCTGGTCACGTACTGGTGGATGGTCGATTTCCCGGAGAATTCGCACAATAGCTTCCGGTTTCTGACGGCTGAGGAGGCGGGCATCGTCTCGAAGCGGATCCAGACCGATCGCGGCGATCTGGTTGCCCAGGACTTCGCCATCGCCAAGGTACTCGTCCACGCGAAGGACCCCAAGATCTGGGCCTTTGCTTCGCTGTTCTTTATTCAGAATTTGGTTTCGACCAGTTTAGCGTACTTTGTGCCCATCATCCTGGAGAATGGGCTGGGGTATTCACCCGACACATCGATCATTTTGAGCGCGCCGCCGTATTATTACGCTGTGGTTCCTGTCTTGATCTCGTCGTACTTCGCCGACCGGTTCCGCATCCGGGGCCCCGTCATTGCTTTCAACGCGCTATGCCTCATTACCGGCTTTGCCGTGTTAGGGTTTGCTCAAAACTCAGGGGCTCGTTATTTTGGCGTTTTTCTTGCGACGGGGGCGTATGTTGGGAACTGGGCTGCCTTGACCGCGTATCAGGCGAACAACGTTGTCGGGTATGTTTCTGTCCTTCTGTGCGCTGTTGTGTGGAGAGAAGCTAATTCGATGGTTTTAGGCAGTGGAAACGCGTCTTTACTGCGGCAGCTTGTAGTGCCTTCAATGGTGCTGGCGGAATCGCGGGGAGTTTTATTGTGCGAAACTTTGAGGCGCCGTTTTATACTACCGCCGTGTGGGTGTCTATTGGGTATGACCGTATCTTCCTCGAGTGCCATGTACCGCTACTAATGGTGCCTAGTTCGCATATCCTCATGATTTCGGTTGTTGCTGTGCTTTCTGTGCACTTCTACCTTGCCAACAAGTCTCAGAGCAAGCGGTCTGGCGTTTTGGAGAACACGGTAAGGAATTCGACCCCCTTGATCTTCGTTGGTACCTAGACTGACACACCGTAGGAAGGATTCCGGTTTACGTACTAAAGGAAGCAGAAGAGGAAGGGATCAGCTTTATACATTTTGTTTCTAGTTGTCGTTTTATTGTAGCTCCATTAGCTTTTAGCGTTTGTCTGGACACATAGAATTACTCACCTGAAGCCGCCTGCGTTAAATGTGTAAACAGCGAGTTCCGTTTATTGGGTTTTGAGCTTTCAAATCCCAAGACCATCAGAATTGACCGCTGCGGGTCAGGCCGCCACAATACCTGCTAGAAGACTGGAGAAACCGTATTAACTAGTTGCCACTGCTCTATTTACATTTTATTTTACCAAATCTCTTTTTTTTTTCTATACTTTTTTTCTTTTTCCCTATCTTTAAATTTCACATTATTTTTCTCTTTCTTTGTTCTTCCTTCTTCTCTTCCTTCTCTTTTTCTCTTGCTTGATAATACACGAAGTCCCCAAGCCCCAAGCGGCTAAGTTCGCCTTGGATAGCTGGACCAAAAACCCCTGTTCTCAGCACCATGATCAAACACTAGGTACCCTCTGCCTTTTTACTTTCTAGTTCCCACTTATCGACTTGACGCTTGGTGACAGACTCCAGTAGAAAGGCTGGCTCATGGCACATTATTATACGCCCAGCCCCACATAGCCTTTCTAAGCTGGAAACTCGAGTCCTGGTGAATTTGTAGTAGTCGAGGAGCCTGAGGACAAGGATAGGCTGCTTCGCCTTCACCCAATTAAGAACACACGTTGTGTAGCAGACGTTAGGTGGTGGATAATAGAAGATATCCCCCTTGACGACGGTGAAGGGGTAGATGGCCTCGGCCGAGTACGTCAAAGGCCCTGGCACCCAAGACGCGTTGCGGCCGGTGTAGTCGCACACAATGGCCATATTGTCGTCTGTATGGACAAGGAGAGGTCCAAGTATATGCACTCGCAACTGCTCCTTTAGAACTTCAACGGTTTGCTTATTACCATGAAGCTTTCAGTCTGTTTGACATATATCATCGGTGTGTGGATGTCACGATTATGGTCGCATGCAGCCGGCGGGGTACGCTGGCAGTACCCCGAGCCAATCATTAAGTAAGAAGGACGGCCAATGGGACGTCCGACGCATTGCTCAAGAAGGACCCTGCCAAGGGAATGAGCAAGTGCTCATTCTGCTCATTAAGGGAGTCGTGAGCACCCTGAGCACCCTCAAGTGGATAGTATATAGTCACTCGTTCTGGAGAGCTCTGGGAGTTCTCCAGTTAGCAATCACAACTACAGTTCGCTACAAGCTCGGAAGCCTACTGTTGAGACAAGCCTTTGTTGTGCACCTTTTGGCTGCACCGAACCTAAGCACCCTTGAGAGATTACCTTTAACCGAAGCTGAACCCTAACAGGACAGGGTCCCGAAGTAGGTTCGTCACAGTGGAGCTGATATCACGGCCTTGGTCACTGTCATTGGGGCCGATATAGATAACGAACTGACGCTCCTTTATTGGTTGGGGACCGACCCGCATAAATCCGTTCTCATCAACCACTATGAGACCTGCAGTGCCTCCCGTAGTACTGCTATGGCCAGGCAGATGTGAGAGCTCACCATCATCGTCGGATCCATAAAATTTGAGGTCTTGAGGTTCGAGGTCCTGATCAGGGAAGTGGTGGACCCATTCCTTGCTGGTATCGTTGTAACTGGCTTCTTCTGTCGCTAGATGCCAGATCTAACTCGTCCTCGTCCTTACGGGACTCCAGTCTGGGGCCTTGGTGGTTATTCTCGGGAGGCTGGCAACGCGAGGGGGTCGGGTGATTCCCCTAACCGTTCTGATGGCGACGATTGGTGCCACATCGGCGGGGACGGGGATTTGGAGGGTGCTACGCTGTCCCGGGCGTCTCTTGATCGGGTTCACATCGACGAAGAGCGCGGCTACAGGCGGGCGGGCGGTATCATCTAAAATATATTCAGCCAGTGCACGAAAAGGGGGGTAAATAGGTAGGTAGGTATACAAACCCTCACCATCCAAGGCTCGGTCCAGACCATGTCCTGTTCACCGAAGTTCTTTCAGCGCTGTGATAAACTCCCGATCCAGGGGCTGGTACATCGGGGTTGTTATGTACCTCTCGAGGATCTTTTGGTGCCTGAGGGGACAGGGACGAAATAGAAAGACGCCACCGCGCTACTCAATTTTTCTCCCCAGACTACCCCCATACCTCAGTGTGGCACATCAAAGAACACTGTCTCCAAGCCATGCTAAAAGTTACATCCTGACATCGGGAGCTATGGATGGGACTTGAGAGAAAGAGACTATTTGAAGACTTCTAGGCGGTCTGGCTGGGCAGAATATGTTTGGGCAGAGCATGGGCTGAACGCGGGCCGAACGCAACTTCATCTCCGTCTTACTCTTTAATTTCTCCACCAAAGGTCCCATAATTAAAGCAAGCCGTCAGTCCCAAGCAACCACAAAGTTTCTACAGGTACTTATTCTTTGAATCACTGGATGCTCTGTTCGGCCCTTCTGCGTTCTTCAGCCCTGAGTCCCTGACGTTCCTTCTTTTTGTCCACCTCAGTCACCCTACCTTAGTGACTGGTCTCCGAATGGAAGCCTCGAAAGAGCCTCCAGGCCCTTCACACTTTACTGTCCATGTATTCCTCAACCATGATCCCCTAATCGCTCGAGTTTTGCTTCCCGACCTCTTCCTGGACTTCCCAGATTCCTCTTGGAAGCTTGCCCCATTGGTTGAACCGCCTCCACCACCGCGAGAGAAGCCGGAATACAAATCCTTGCCCAAAGGCGAGGGGGTGAATCCCAGAGAAGGGTTAGGCCGCTACACCTTCTCCGAACCTTTGGCGGGCGATACGACTCTTCTTCAGTTAGCCGAGAAGGTGGAACAGGAGTTTGCCATCCCCAAGAAATACCAAGGACAGTTCACCATCTTCCCGCAGAGTCAAGACTACGAAACCAGCCAAGGACCGTTGTGGGACAATCGCCCACTGCCTTGGAGCACGACCCTGGCTAAAGTACACCAGTTCGATCTCGACGCACTTCATCCTGGCGACAACGGAGCCACCGCAAGATCACCAAGCCGGACGCGCGGTCTTGCATCTGGTGCTCGAAATCAAAGCAGCGGCGCTTCAGCGTATCGTCGGCACCACATTTCTACAGGAAGAGATCAGAACGCCCTACTGCCAATTTGTTGGCTACTGGAATCGTCTGGACGGCTTCTGGCACCGTTTTGGCACGCGTTGGCAGTCCGGCTCGCAATTAGAATCCAACCTTGGCCTTTGGCGATGCGCTACGTTCGCTTTTGCGTACTTGGCGAGACAGCAAGAGAAGGGCCTAACATGGCCTGACGATAACGAACTGAGAACCAGTGTGCAAAGGGCAGAAGAACTTCGAGAAAAGCGGCGGCAGAGCGACCTTTCGGATCAAGCCCACTGGGACTTGACGCACGAACTTTTGAACCTTCTCCCAAGGATCAGGCAGATTGAGAGAAACAAGGCTGGCGGACACGATCAGTTGCGAGACATCTCGGTATTTGTGACGCAGTGGGAGGACTGGGTTACGAACCAGGATTTTCAGAACTTCACAATCCGTCTTTTGAAGCCGGACGAAGTTGAGTCTAAAGTGGCGGCTGTCATTCGTCAGGCGAGGCGGGTTGTTGATGAATGGAGACCATCCGAAGGCAGGCAGCAGCTTCACGCATCCATCAAGGAGGAGTATTACGGCGCGCGGCCGTGGTTGACCGAGGAAGATCGAGCAAACGATGAAAGATACAGGCTCGATGAACTCAAGCATGCCGCATGGCTCCCAAATCCCACCGTCTGGGGAGCTGGGAACACATCCGCGGACAACTCTGTCATCTCGTCTCCTCATATTCAGGTGCACAGCATGCGTCGCTCGGACGGAACGCTCCTCCCGGACCCGTCAGCTTCCAGTTTCATGATCAGCTCCGGTTCCATCCTCTGGGGTCAGATGGTCAGTTTATACTCCACCATGTCGCATTCAGACTTCACTCAAAATGCAGATGCCATACCTCCGGAGCTACAAGGTGGCACTATCCTGCAGCATCGCTTCCGTTACAGGTCTGCGGCTCGGCATGGTCAATGGAAAGTTCGGCCATACAACGAGAGAATAAGGATTGGGAGGTTTCTGCCAGATCCTGATGGGCCAGGATACCTCGCTGGCTGGATCTTGCATCACGAGGATGTCGACCCTGGGAGAGTGCTAGAGAGAGTGCGAGCGCTGGATGGGACAGGACCGGGGGCGGTGAGCAACAGAAATCGCCACACCGACAAGGTCAGACCCCCTTTCTTTTGTAGCTCGGAACTACGAACGTAAGTAACGTGACACCTTACAGGACGTATTGTACGTTGGGCGGTACGACTGGTCCCACCATTCCATGCGCGACTTGGAGCTCGAGTTCCAGCAGTGGGCGGAACCAGTGATCGGACCCGTTCCAGACATCCAGGACCCGTACAACGTGACCAAATGCAATGTGCGCAAAGGCGGCTACATGATTGCCATGGACGAAGCGGACTTCAATCTGAACTTTGCGGCGGCGTACAAAAGAGACTGTGACAGACCTTTGTCCCAGAACCCTGGCGAGGCGAACCACGCGGCAACCCCTATCGAGAAGGTGTTCCGCAAGGATGGGCGGAACTTTGGCACGTTCCTGAGCATGATGTACAGCGGTGAGGACTATGGTGAGTGACCGTCCCTGAATGGCTGGAGCTTCACTCCATTCAGATTTGAAGGAATTTACTAATGCTGGTGCGTCATTAGCCTGGCTGGTATTTTCAGGGGAGAAGCATGCCGACCACGGCGTGGATGAGCTTGTGGCGCTCGTCTACTCGAGTGGAAATGTGACAGAAATGTACCACACCCTGGAAGGCGACCTGTCTTCCTTGTGATCGAGGCTGAGTTAAAGCGATCCGATCTCCTTGGGACCGTCCACGTTTTGGATATGGGAACGGGGATGGTGGCCTGGGTTTGTCGGATGCGTGTATAACCATACTCTACTGTTAGTATTCTGGATCGGCACATATTTTTGGGACAGCAATTCCAGTCGGCAGTTTGCGGAGGAGACAGTCTTGTTTGGTGTCTGAAAGACCCAAGGTTGTGGGGTAGCCACCCCCGAGTTCAGGGGGGTTGCCGTACGAAGCTTGATATCCTAGCGTCTCAACCAGTCCGTTAACGAGACGACGTCCCCCTCTGCCACCATTACAGCTCGCCCATCTGGTGTGGTCGGCCCCCCTATACCCTCAGTCAGCAAGTCGATGAAGTGTATTAACTTACCCTGGCGGTGTTCACCCTGGCCTGTTAAACCCCCCTCGGATTAGCTCAAGTCTCGATCTGTCGTGGTGTATGTATTATTTAGTAGCCCAAAACAATTACAGCTTCTCGTTCGAAATGGTACTTTGTGGTGATGCACACTTGTCCTCGGTCTCAGTAGCTTTGGGAACCGAACAGAAGACTATCTGCCTACCATTTTGAGTACGAGCAGGTAGGGAAAAAGGCAGGGAAGCATCGAAGGCGTACCAAGAGCACCTCTGGTAGATACTGATATTATTATTATTTCTCTTATCACGCTAGGTACTAAGTACATGCGGTCCCTCAGCGATTAACTCGGTAGGAAAAAACCATGCCTAAGCTGGATGAAAACCTCCGCACCTCCGCTGCGGCCTTGCCGCTACCCCGTGGATCCATCTCCTCGAAAGGGCTCACCCACCTTCCGAGGTCAAAGTAACGAAATAGATAAAATGAGTCGTAACCTCTGTTCCATCGATTTCCTTCTGCTACTCCGCTTCGGCCCCGCCGCGGGCCTCTTCGTTGTTCTCATTTTCCAGCTCTACCGCCAGCCGGAACTCGTTCAGCCTCCCCAGCCCAAGCACCCTCCCCACCACTATGGCAGCCTTCTCCACGTCATCTAGCCACTCCAGTAGCTCTGCGCCGTCGTTTGGCCAGGGATGAGGTTTATCTGCGGCTCCGTTGCATTCGAGTACGAGGTGTTCGAATGTCTCGCGCGCCATACCGCAGCGGCATACCGGCGTTACCACCTCGGGGACCCTCCTAGTAAAGAGGAACCCTCGAAGCCCAATCTTCCCGGTCCTCGCTTGCACTAGGAGAGTACTCTTCGCCTTCGATAGCTCCCAGGCTGGGTCCCTCGACCGGTGTCGGTTCATGATAGAGGCGTCGAACCGCGCGGTCGCATCGGCCGGGGTAGATACTGATAGAATAAGCTGGTTCCACAAATAAACAGCAGGAGATTGTAACTGTAACAGAGAGTGTCCGATGGTAGATTGGTAGGGTGTATACCTAAGCTACGTAATAAGAAGAAAAAGAGGCTAGTCGGATTAAAGCGGTAAAAGTATTGAGATTTCACCAATTTGCAACAGAGTACCCCAATTTCACCAAAAGGCTAAGCAGGTCCCACCACTTGATGACCATCCATGGCCATCCTCAACGAGTCAGGCCGCCAGTTTCAAGCTCGCTAACGGATCAAGCCATGGTCCAGTCTACGCCTCTTTAAGGGGCGCTCCTCATCTTCCAGCATCTCCGTGATATCTGCATGCTCGGGCAGGGGTTCGACAAGCCCCGAGAAGTTCAGTTCCTGGTACACACCATAGTGGTCTGTGAGGGAGGAGCTCAGCGAGTCTTGGAAGTCTGCATCTTTAGCTAGGAGATGTCGGAAGACTAGAGGAAATTCGACGTGGGCTGTTCGAAAAAATATTTCCGCCATCTTCTCCCCTGCAACGTCTGGGAATTGATATGAGGTGGCCATGTAAACATCAAGTCCGCTTTGTCCTGTCCCTCAGCAGCCATGCCAGCTTGGATTTGACGATCTCCTCTGTAATCTTTCCTTCGCCTTGGCTCCCACGCAGCCAGTTTGGTGCCCTGCTGCTCAGCATGCAGTGAGCGATGTGGATAGGTATAACGGCTAGGAAGTAGTCGATGACCAGTTTAGCCGTTATCCTCTTGAGGGTTCCGTCGTCTACTGGAGTAGAGCCTGCCATCCGCTGAGTGACGATATCGGGGAGGTCTCCCCAGTGTCGGAGGGGATAAGTGAAATCCTTCAGGGAGGACAAGAAGTCGTTCCACAGAATCTTGTCAAGGGCTTGAGATGACCCAGGTAGCACGCTGCGAACTTCAGGGGGGATGAAGTCCAAGTCTCCAAGACCCGGGAAGTTAATGAGACCAGTCTTGACCGAGTACGTGGCATCTGCGAGAGTGAAGCCATGCTCAAGACCCCACTTGGTGCGGGCGGTGTTCTGTAGCCGCCACCAATTGACGCAGACAGGCCCCCAGAGGGCGTAGCTCAGGAGTTGCAAGAGTCCAGCGGGCAGAGGACCGGAAGTTCCACAGAAGTCGGGAGGTGCGATTGAGTAGCCATGGCCGGTGGCAACCGAATGCTGAGAGTCCATTCCTTCATTCTCAACATGGGTACCGGTATCCTGATCACGTCTGCTGGTCGGCATCTAAGTGCTAGGGCCTGTTGCTTCACCTAAGTGGGCATTACCAACGATGCTATTCGTATTCAGCTCAGTGAGCCGCCCAGCGAAGTTAGAGAGAACGCCTTCAGGGTAGAATTCGCTCCTGAAAAATGGATCTGGTCGCTCCACGGATAGCGCAGCACACCCCTCCACCTGAGATATAGGCCTTCATGTAGGTCAACAAGGCTGTGATCTCCTGAGTGGTCTCGCCAACTCCGTTGAACTGAACGGGTCCGAGAATTGGAGATCGCGGGATGAAGCGCTCACATTCATGACGATCCAAGATGTATTGATTCCGCGCTGAAGGGGAGGTCGATGCATTGGGGACCCAATGTAGAGACTGGGCGTTCTCAGTCAAATTGATCTTCTTTGCCAAAGGGGACGGGATCCAAGAGGAAGGGATCCAGATCTTTCTGGACAGGTCGCTCACATCTCTCTCAGTGTGGGGCCGCTTCTGCGTCCGCTGGGCTTGATGGGAAAGCCATTCCACAGTGGAATGTGCGACCAGAAAAGAGAGCGCCAGTCCTTGGTTGGCCGTGGCCAAGTTAGGCTCCGTTCGGGGGAGAAATTCCCATCTGGGAACCAAGGCGGCAAAATCGGGCATACTTGAGCCCTAAAGAAACAGGGAAGGGCATACCCCAAAGGGGACATGGCTAGAGGGGTCATAACGAGGATAAGCTCCTCCATCAGTGGGTTAGGGGACACAAAGTCCTGGGCGGCCACCCTACCCGGGGATGCTTCACCCCGCAAGATTTTCTCCGTGAACCTGAAGGGGTGGCAATAGTAGACCAACTCATGGATCTGATGGAACGCTTCGTAGAGATGGGCACATCTCAGCCAGTATGTGAGAGAAACGAAGGGGACAGGCGCCCAGTTCCCATCTATGCCGTCCTCTAGTCGCAGGGTGGGCGATGATACGATGTAAATCCAATGAAGAACCTTCTGGATGGCAACCTGCATATAGAGTAGATCCTGGGGATATTCTATCATCCACATACCGAGAAGGTCCGTGGCCCGTTTGGGGACGTTGTCTTCGGCGATTTGGAAGACAGGGAGCGAGTATCGGACGCCTCTGGACAAGTCGCAGATATTGTCAGGATAGGTCTTCTTCTGAGAAGCATATTGAGAATATCCAATATCGCTTGGGATGCCCAATGGGAGGCCGTGGATCAGCCTCTGGGCACAGCTCTCCCCTCAAGCTGCCAGTACGGCCACTTCGTCAGGCCTTAGTTGTCCCCCTTCATTCCAAGTCAAGAGGTCCATGAAGTAATTGGGTTTCCCTTGGCGTAGGGCTTTGACTGTGGGGACGAGATCGCGAACGAACCTCGAATCGTCCGCACTAAACAGCTTGAGGGCTGGCCTGGTCCTGGTTGGCGATGGATCTTTCTTCGCGATAACAGGGACGAGCGACAACGGATTGATTCCGACGTAGATTGCCTTGGTGTCCTTCAGGCTCTGCACCATAGACGAGTTGGGCTTCACGTGGTATCGGTGACCGTCCAGATACTGAAGGGTGATGTGTGAGAACGTGGACTTGGGCGAAAAGTCGACCCTGAACTTCACGACTGGGCCTTCGCCCGCCTGTGTCGATTCGGATGAAGAGCTGGCCATACTGAATCTTTTGCACTCCCTCAATTGTACCGGAAGTCTGAGCAGTTGCGAAAACAAAAGTAAAGTTGGCTGTCGTGCCAGCAGCGAAAAGGGTAGTGCAGAGGTCGAAAGTAGTAAACGTTGGGTGATTTAGTTCGAACTTCGAAGTTAATTGATCGGGTCGGTGGCCAAGGGACAGAGGAAAGATGGGTTTGAGCAAAGCAAAAAGATTTATCAGGAAAGTAGCAGCAATCGGTTCGGACCCAATTTCAGAATGATAAAAGAGGCACCTATTTTTTTTTCTCGCCTCAGGCCGCGCGTATCTTAAACGCGTCCTCGTTTCTCCGGCGTGGAGCAGAGGTCGGTCCGTTTAACTCGCCGCATCTTCGCCAGATCCGGCTTGACTCTTGAATACCTACACCCCAAGACCCGAATATCAGAAAGAGTATCGGATATCTTCACCAGGTCCTAGATAATGCGGTTGACAGTTTCGACCTTGCCTAGGGAGCAATGGGACTACCTAAGGTAGGTTTTACCTTTCCGTCGTATTGTAACTTGACGCTGGCCTGTCTAATTGGGAGAGATAGGTACCTACCTATTATACGGGAATTTGGTGCTGCCAGTCTCTCAACTATCATGAGGTTAACACGGCAGGCAATGTCCTAAAAACCCATGAGAGTTCACACCCCCACCGCCTCCAAACGAAACCCAAACTCCATCTCCTGCACGGGCACCACCAAATCCTCCCTGACCCCCGGCCCACACGCCGCCGTGCCCACCCCCGCCACCCGCCCATCCAGCCTCAACAGCGTCGCCTCCTCCTCGACCAAATCACACGGATGCCTCGCGGCCTGCACCACCCGATCCGCAACCCTCCCCACCCTAAAACTAAACCCCCCCTTCTCCCCATCCACACCACCCCCCTCCCCCACCCTCAACACACCCTCCCTCACCACCCGGATCCCTCCACCCCGCAGCATAAGTAACCGTCCCTTTCCCTCGAAAACATGCACCCAGCTCGTGCCCATCCGATTCCCTCCCTCCTGCGGCACCTCATACCCGGCGCCCAGCTGCATCTCGCGCACCCCAAGCGGGCCCCACACGCCCATGCGCTGGGCGGCGCGTTTGTCCGGGTACGACTCGCCTGGTCCGAGCCCGCTCCAGAGCGCGTCGGTGAAGGTGGGCGGGAGGTGAAGGTTGAGGCCGGCGCGGGGGAGGTGCGTGGGGGGGTGGGCTCCTGAGGGGGAGAGGTGCGTGTGGATGGACAGGGTGGGGGTGGGGGCGCTGTTTTGGGGTCGCGGGGGGATGGTGTTCGGGAGGATGGGGTGGATGGGGGCTGGGGTGGATCGTGTAGGTGGTGGTGGCGAGGATGCCCCAGTCGAGGACGGGGGGCGTGTGAAGGGTGGTGAAAGGTGATGGTGAGGGAGGGGGTGGTGGCGGTGGGCAGGGCGATGGGTGGTGTTGCGGAGTTGGGTGGTGAGGGCGTCGACGCCGAAGCGTTGCCAGTAGGGGAGGGTGGAGTAGACGTCGTTGTCGGTGGGGGGCCGCCAGAAGGAGGGGGTGACGGCGGCGCCGGTGGTGGGGTCGGGGGAGAGGAGGGTGGTGCCGTTGGAGGTCCAGTGCGTCAAGTGGCCGAACGCTTGGTCGAAGATGAAGGTGGAGCTGTCACCGGTGATGGTGATGGTGCTGGGGGTGGTTTTGATGTCGAGCTGCCGCGCTGGGCTGGGGGATGTGGGCAGGGGCTCGTTGGCTTCCACTCGGTATTGGAACCAGGCTATCTCGTGGCCGACGCTGGCCCAGGGCGTCTCGGTCTTGAGAGTGAAGGACACCGTCAGGTATATCTCAGCGCCGCGTTCACACTGGTAGTCCCGTACTACCTTGGGGAGGCGGACCATTGCGCTCGACCCTGGATTGATGGCTGGTAATTTTAGCTCGCCGGCGCCCAGCGGAGTTGTGCTACACTCGTGTTAGTGGTTTCTCTGCGGTATGGGTCAGGGTACTCACCTCTCCGCAAACTGCTCCAGCTTGTAAGTGGCAACGAGGTGGTCGAGTCCGACAAACTGGTAGAGGTTTGAGATCTCAAGATCGGGAACGCGTGCCCACCACCTTGACCGGTTCGATGACCTTCTTGAGCTCGGTCAAACCAGGGGTTGGTTCGTGGGTGCTGTGTAGCAAGCCGTCCATGACGAATGTGCTATCGTTGGGCACATCCCCAAAGTCGCCGCCGTAGGCGTAGTATGACTTGCCATCGGGGTCCTCCTTCCACAGGCCGTGGTTTGCCCACTCCCAGATAAAACCTCCTTGCAGCCGGGGGTAGGTGCGGAAGGCCTCCTCATAGTCTTCCAGCCACCCCGGCCCGTTCCCCATGGCGTGCGCGTACTCGCAAAGGACCACGGGTTTGTCGAAGGTCCCGTCAGGCTTGACGCCCTCGGTCTTGGCATGCTTGATCAGCGTGTCGACGGACGGATACATGTACGAATACATGTCGGCGGTCTCGGCATCGGCATCGCCTTCATAGTGCACCAGGCGTCCGGGGTCAATCTTCTTGGCGTAGTCGTACATGGCCTTGTGGTTCCGGCCGTAAAAGGCCTCGTTGCCGAGGGACCAGATGATGATGGACGGGTGGTTCTTGTCGCGTTGCACCATTTGTTCCATGCGATCGACATAGGCGGTCTGCCACGATGGATTGTCGCTCGTGTACTTTGCGGCCTTGGGGAACGTGAGCTTCTTGCGCTCTCCGTAGTCCATCGCCTCGGGGATATTCTGGGGCCGCGCGACGGCGTCGTAGAACCCGTGGCACTCGAGATCTGCCTCGTCCATCACCCACAGGCCGAGCTCGTCGGCAATATCAAACAGCCTCGGGTCGCTGGGGTAGTGGCTGCAGCGGAGGGCGTTGATGTTGTGCGTCTTCATGAGGAGCAGGTCCTTCCGAATGAAGTCCAGGGGGACGGCCCGGCCGAAGTGAGGATGGTGGTCGTGTCTGTTGACGCCATGGAGCTGGATGGGCTGGCCGTTGACGCACATCAGGCCGTTCTTCAGCTCGACTTTGCGGAATCCTACTCTCTGAGTCACCGTGTACGTCTTGGAGGGTGTCTTGATGGACAACTCGACCGAGTAGAGATAGGGCGTCTCAGCCGTCCACTTGGCCGGGTTCTTGACGGGGATGCTGAGATTGATCTTGCCGTCGCCGCTCACATCCTGTCCCGCATCGGCAAGCGTGTCTCCTCCGTTTTGGGGCAGTTCCCGGAGGGTCATGGCGACCGTGGCGGCTGTCGAGGTGACAACATGGATATCAGCGTCCAGTGTTGCGTTTTTGTATTCGCCGTCCAGGTCAGTGCGGAGGAACCAGTCCTCAATCCGAGCTTCTGACGGCATGGATATTAAGTGCACGTCGCGATAGATGCCTGGTCGAGATATTATTAACAAACCCTGGTCGGCAAACGCCGCCCTGAGAAAGACGAACCGGAAAGCCACCATTGGTCCTGGTCCTCGATGTAGGAGCCATCAGACCACTGGTACACCCTCACAACAAGCTCGTTGGGATGGTCCTTGGTCACGCCAAAATCGGTCACATCAAATTCGTGAGGGTTTCTGGATCCTTGGGCATAGCCAACCAATACTCCATTGACCCAGACATGAAAGGCGCTGTCAACGCCATCGAAGCGCAGCCGAACTTGCGAGTGGTCGTCCCAGTTGGAGGGGACTTGGAAGGTTCGCCGGTAGGTGCCGGTCGGATTGTCGGTAGGGACATGGGGAGGGCAGACGGGAATGGGGAACTGGACGTTGGTGTAGTGAGGGATGCCGTGGCCCTGCAACTGCCAGTGACCGGGGACCTGGATGGTGGTCCACTGCTCGTCAGGGGAAGATGTCGGTTCCGGAGCTTTCAGTGGGGTCGAAGCGTAGTGGAAATCCCAGCGGCCGTTGAGAGCGAGGGCTGTCTCGGGGATGTAATAGGACCGCGGAGGGAGCGTGTTTCGTCGAAAAACGGCCTCGTTGGCGTAATCCGGAGTGCCCCTCTTCTCCTCCATGGTGATGCCGTTGGAGGTTCTCATCTCGGCGTATTTCTTGTGGGCAGAGTTATGCTTGAAATGATGACTGGACAAAAGAGTGAGGGCCAACTGCTCATCAGTCATTCAATCTCGTCTCGTTTAATGTTTTGGTGCAAATAAAATACACCTGATTTTCCATTATGAGTCCGAATCATCGGAGGGGTTTTCGGCGGCTCCAACGGCAACATTGAACCAAGACGGGGCCGGTCATCGGTTCCGTTTCGGTTATCGGATGCGGGGGGAGGGGACAGTGAGGGGGAAGAAGTCTGGGGCGGCAATGCTGCATCGTGCAGGGACCCCTCACGATGCTTGGATGCTTATTAGGGTTGTGGAGATGCTTGGTCGAACTGAGTGGGCGCTGGAAAGTGGTATTAGTGGATCTAACATCTGGATTGTGTAATTCTGCACCCCGAGCGGCACCTCAACGCGGTATCCAATCACACCATGGCTCTCTGATAACATCCCCCAATATCCCGCCAATCGGTTGCCGCTTCAAAATGAAGCTGCAGTGTTGAGTGACCTTGATCCTGACGCGTTATTCGGCCCTCCTTTGGATCTACCCCAAGCTGTGCAGGTTGCCTCAAGTCAGAAAGATCTGAACTATCTCAAGTAATTTCCAGAACAGTGTTGGCAACATTGAAACAGGGGGAGTACCACCTCTCTCTGTAGTGTACACTCGTATCCATGATCATGACAACAACCATCAGTGGTCTTCGAAAGCATAGCAGCGCAAATTCACCCCCCATATCCATACAAAGCTTAAAATCTCTATGTTTCCTTAGCGCAATCTCGGGCAAGCAAGAACCGAGCATCGCCCCCAAGAGAAAAGCCATGAAACCTTCGCGTGACATCAACCACTCACACCCGGTGACACAGACCATCCCTAAATGCCGCCCCAATCAACATCCCGGCGGTCAAACAACGGTGATCTTGGTGCTCCCATACAGGCAATATCTCCCGACCGCACAGTGTTCCAGAAAAGGAAGGTCTGAAGTTGCCAACCACTCCCCGAACGTACCACGGCGCGGGGAACCAAATGCACACACAACACGCCGAAGCGAGACATTCCATCATGGTTCCCCATGGGGAGAAGAGTCTGGGCCCTGCAGTTCTTGCATGTGGCATTCGGCGGAGGGGTAAACATCCAGGCTACTAATAATACTCCGACCCGCGGCTGAAAGCTTGAAGTTGAAGCTATCCACAGCCCTCTTTCTTGCGCCGACGCCGAGATGGATTCCAACCGGGAGAAGGAGACCGCGGCTGGAGTCGAACACGCCGATCTTGCACTTGACAAACACGACGTGACCGTTCAGCTTGCCCACGATGTCGAAAACACTGTGTACTCGCCATGGTCGCCGCCGATGCTCCGCCTCTATCTCGTCTTGTCGATAAGCTATCTCTGCGGCTGCCTCAACGGCTACGACGGCAGTTTGATGGGCGGCCTGAATGGAATGACGAGTTATCACCATTATTTTGACATGTAAGAGCTTATAAGAACAAAATCATAAGAATTTCTAGGGGCTTGCTGACGAGTCCGCGCGCAGGACCACAGCAGGGTCCGCTACAGGGCTGGTCTTCGCCATGTACAACATCGGCTCGGTGGCCGCCGTCTTCTTCACGGGGCCGGTCAACGACTACTTTGGCCGGCGATGGGGAATGTTTGTCGGCGCCTTGATTGTGATCATTGGGACGTGTGTCCAGGCGCCGAGCACCACGAAAGGACAGTTCCTGGGCGGCCGGTTCGTGCTCGGCTTCGGGGTCAGCTTCTGCTGCGTCTCGGCACCCTGCTACGTCTCGGAGATGGCTCACCCCAAGTGGCGTGGCACTCTAACAGGACTGTACAACACCACTTGGTACATTGGCTCGATCGTCGCATCCTGGGTCGTCTACGGGTGCGCCTTCATCGACAACCTGGACGCCTGGCGTATCCCCATCTGGTGCCAGATGGTAACTTCGGGTATCGTCTGTCTGGGAGTGCTTTGGCTGCCCGAGAGCCCCCGGTGGCTCGTGGCCCAAGACCGGCACGAGGAAGCCGCCAAAGTGCTAGCCACATACCACGGCGAAGGCCGGGCCGACCACCCGATGGTCCAGCTTCAGATGCGCGAGATGATGAACCAGATCTCCACCGAAGCTTCCGACAAGAAATGGTACGACTACCACGAGCTCTGGAACACGCACTCAGCACGCCGCCGCCTCATCTGCGTCATCGGCATGGCCGTGTTCGGCCAGATCAGCGGCAACAGCCTCTCCTCCTACTACATGGTCACCATGCTCCAATCCGCCGGCATCACCGAACAGCACAAAGTCCTCGCCCTCAACGGGATCAACCCGGCGCTCTCCTTTCTCGGCGCCATTCTCGGCGCGCGCATGACCGACGTGGTCGGGCGCCGGCCCCTGCTGCTGTACACCATCGTGTTCGCGTCGGTGTGCTTCGCCATCATCACGGGCACCAGCAAGATGGCGACCGACGACCCGACCCAGGTGGCGGCGGCCAACACCACCATCGCCTTCATCTTCATCTTCGGCATCGTGTTTTCCTTTGGTTGGACCCCGCTGCAGAGCATGTACATCGCCGAGACCCTGCCCACGGCCACGCGCGCAAAGGGCACCGCCGTTGGTAATTTTTCGTCCTCGGTCGCGTCTACCATCTTGCAGTACGCGTCGGGCCCGGCGTTTGAGAAGATTGGGTACTACTTTTATTTGGTCTTTGTCTTTTGGGATCTGCTCGAGGGTGTCTTTATGTATTATTACTTCCCTGAAACCAAGGATAGAAACTTGGAAGAGCTCGAGGAGGTATTTGCGGCGCCAAACCCGGTCAAGAAGAGTCTGGAGAAGAGAAGCGCGCTGACTGTTCTGAATACCGTGGGGGCGCAGAGGGAGAAGCTGGGTGATGAAGTTTGATGCGAGGGTGGGCACCGACGGGGCACCTCACCTCATGCGAGAGCAACCGCCCCACAGCTGTTCCACACCTTTAGTGGGTTAGGGTTAGATAGGTAGGTAGCTTCATCGCAGTTAGCCTTGAATGCAAGCAGACAGCGTTCACGGTTTGACGTGTAGAGTCCTGAGCTGAAAGATCCTGTCTATGAATCATCTATGGCCACGTCTAAATCACACCGTTCCCTGGGTATCCTGTTCTACCTTGATCAAGCACCATAGCACCGTATGCACAAGGCCGCCCACATCCCTTTCCAATGTTGCACCGCAACAGGAACCCTACAGCAACAGCTGTCGAATCAAAATAATAAACATCTCTCCAGCCATCCAGGCCTGTATCCTAGAGCTCATCAGTCATCAACCCCCAACCTCTTAACACTGCCTCGCGCATCTAGTCCCGGTCCGCCCGGCCGGACGCGTTGATACCGTCACCCAAGCCAGCATCCGCACCACGCTCGTTGATAACCGCGTCGTTGCTGGTGTTGGACGAACCGCCACTGATCGCCGGCTTCTCCTCGGGGTCGCGACCGTCACGGCCTCCGCCCTCGGCCGAAGTTCTGTCGATGAGGCCGTACTGCTTGGCGTACTCCTGAATCTCGCCGGGCTGCAGGTTCGGCAGCTCCTTGGCGGCCTTGACGTACGACATGTTCTCGACGTGGCCCTTGGCAAAGATGATGTCTATCTCCTCGAGCGAGCGGCGGGCCGTCTCGGGGTAGAAGAAGTAGATGACGGGGATGAAGCAGGCGTTGACCGAGGCGAAGAAGAGGTAGGTGCCCCAGCCGATGTTGCGGACCATGATGGGCGTGACCATGACGATGAGGAAGTTGAACATCCAGTTGACGCACGTGCTGACGGCGTTGGCCTTTCCGCGCGTCTTGACCGGGTTTACCTCGGCCGGGTAGAGCCACGGCAGCGGCAGCCAGGTGGCGCCGAAGAAGGCATGTAGGTGAAGAGGCCGACGGCGGCGCCCCGGGCCGTCATGGTGTTGTCGGGGATCAGGCAGGCAAAGGTGATGACCATGCTGAGGCACTGTCCGATGGAGCCGATCAAAAACAGGCGTCTCCGGCCGACGCGCTCGATGAGGAACCACGAGGTCGTGGCGAAGATGGAGTAGACGATCATGTTGACGCCGCCCAGAAGCAAACTCATGTTGTGGTCCTCGCCAATGGACTCCTCGAACAGGATGGGGAAGTAGTAGATGACAGCGTTGCAACCACCAATCTGCTGCATAAACTGTGCACTGGAGCCCAGGAGCATACGCCGGAAGTGCTGCGTCTTGCCACCAGTGAACAAAGCCTTGACTGGGGTGCTCTTTTGGCCGAACCCGCCGGCGGCGCGAAGGGAGTCCATGATGAGGTTGCGTTCGAGGACCGTCTCTTCGCTGGTCAGCTCGTAACCACGAATGGCGGCAATGACGCGGTCGGCATCGTCGATACGCTGGTGGCTCAAAAGCCATCTGGGCGACTCCGGCAGGAAGAACATGGGGACAATGATGAAGATGGCGAAAATGACCTGGAAGGCAATGGGGAACCGCCAGACGAGGTCATCAGGGCCGTAGGAAGCTCCGTAGTCGATCCAGTAAGCGATCAAAGTACCAAAGGCGATGATACCACCCTCAATGCAGATCAGCAACCCTCTGTTGGATGTTTTGCTGCACTCGGCTGTTGCATGTCAGTGCATGAACTTCGCAAACGTCGTCCGTCCTAGCTCACCTTGATAGGTTGGAATCGTCGACGTGTTGATGCCGTTTCCGACACCCATGACGACACGACCCACGATCAATTGCGCAAGGGGCGACGCCCAGTGCATGGCAGTGATCTGGATGATGACGCCCAACAACATGATGAAAGCACCCAGCATGATGGCCCTCCGTCTTCCGAGGAGGTCGCCCACACCGAGAATGAACATGGCACCCGCCAGGCAGCCGATCTCGTAGATGGCGGTGACCAACCCCTGCATCGTGGGGTTGTCGTCGGTCTCTTTGAACATCTGGTTGAAGGCCGGGGCGGTAATGATGCCGCTCATGACACTGGCGGACTGTTGTCAGTGGGAGCTGTCGGAACACGACGGCGAGAGCACTCACCCTTGGTCATATCCGAAGAGAAGGAAGCCCGTTGTCGCAACAGTCGAGACTGCTAGCGAGAGGGGCCTGCCCGAGAGGCCCATAAACTTCGGAGGGGCCATTGTCGAAGACTTGGGGTTGTGGATGAATTAGGAGCAAAACGACAATCCGGGGCGAGTCGAGAGAGGGGGAGGATGCTTCCCTAAATAGCGAGACATGTGCAGGGACTTAGAGCCAAGATGCAGATGGGGCAAGAGTCACACTCGGACGTCGGTCGCGCTGCATGCAGCAAGCACACCGGCAATGTGGAACAGAAGGGAACGGCGTTGTGAACCGGTATCAGCCACCGTGGGGAAGATCTGGAAGAACTCTGGACGGCTCGACGACTGAGATGGCCCATATCCGCCCTACCCCTGGCGAGCCCTGGCCACCGATGCGTGGCCGAGGCAAAAGCCCGTGAGATTTCCCGTAGATTTCGGGCGAGGGTACATGCATGCATGTTCCTGCACCGTGAGAGGCGATCTTGTCTCGACGACCCTGTCGCAGACTGTGACAAATCTGGGCGTCAGGATTGTGATCATCGGCAACACAAAGATGTCATCCCTGCCCACAGCAGCGAGAGACAACTGTCATAGGCCGTCATCAAAAACATGCTTTCCAGCGTTGGACCCTCCTGCGGCCCGGTCTACTCCACCGAGCCGTGGACCATGAGGTCATCGCGTGGGTATCTTAAAAACCGCCAAGTCAACTTGGCTCCTCTCGGCACTTCTCAACCCGAAAGCTTGTGAGAAAGGCTGAAGTCTACCGTAGAGCGCCGTCGCGAGTTGGCGAGGGAAGCAGCGCTACGATCGATTTTACGAGTGGCGCGGGCTTAACACGGATGGAACGTCGTTTTTCCAGCGGCATTTCCCGCGTGCACATGCCGAATTGGCTGTCTTTGACAATCGGCGAGACCGTCACATGGATTTGCATCTGCAACCAGTTAAAGTCATGGTCGTCTTAATCTGGCAGAAACCTCCGATGCAGTTGCATTCTGGAAAGGCAACAGCATGCTTGGCGTGGAAAACATCGGAAAATGGCGTTGTTTCTTTGCCCACACGGTGGGACCCATGGCGTCACAGAGGATTTCGAATCCGGCACCAACCAAGGTAGTTCCTCGTATGGAAACTTCAGACCCGTCTTGAGCGTCGGGAGGGGTGACGATCGTTTCCCCGGCTGGGCCTTTTATTTTTTTCATTTTTATTTTTGGCCCGACTCGAAAGTCGGTCTGCAGGGGAAAATATGTCGCTGTGATGTCGAGCAATTCGCATATCTCGTTTCCGTTGTTAACGAGTATTCGCGAATCGAACTCGTCGTGTTTCTTGCTGTCTCGAGACTCTGTAAGCGTTCGGTTCCGGGGAAAGTGGCACGTTTTCGTGCCCCGTGATGAAACTCTCAAACCCACATCCCGCATGAAGCTGGTGGCACCTGCCCCAAACATTATTTTCCACACTCGGGGAAACCCCAATGCAGCGATGATGGGCAACCGCCCCTCACTCGATTTCACCCTCATTTTCGCAGTCCGGGGAACCCCAAAGACCCTGAAAAATTACACCCCTCTTTCCTCCACGTTTGTGCGTCTCCACGAAGAAAAAGCGGTCACCAATTTCCCCCGCTGCCCCAGGTTAGCCGAGAAGGAATCACGACTTGCAACATGGAGTTCAAGGAGGACGTTGCAACACCACGACATTTTTTATTATTGGGCCTCTTTTTTTTGCCCTTCCCAGCTTGGCCTGCACCACCAACCGTCGATGCCGATCCTAAGAGCAGCTTCTTGGCTCGATCCTCACATGCGGCAATGTGTTCCCAGCCGCCAATAGTTTCTCCTCGTGCAGTGAGTAGACCCGTAGTTTACCCCCTTCAAATGCGCCCAGACTTTGTGGCCTTGTTGAGAATGAGATGCGGTTCAAGAAACACGGGAAACGCCGGCGCCTTGGCTGTGGCCGCTGGGCGGACAGGCCACCTCTCGATCTCACATTTGCGGTGTTCCGTTGATCCCAGCACAAACCCCCGCGGCCGTGGCATCACCGTGACCTCACCGTGACTCGCCATGACCAACCCATCGGGCGGTCTCGGGCCCGGAGAGATAAGGGCCGCTTACCGCCCGCCGTGTCGGTTCGGATCCCTCACGACGGCGACGGCGAAAGTTCGGTACCTGACTCGCAACCGCAGCCAACCGCCCCGCCGCATCCCGGTAGTTGGCCTTAGTGCGCTGTGTGGATCGGCATGCCAAGTCCGCTCGGCCCGTCTCCGGAAGCCGCCCCTGAATCCGCGTGGGGCCCGGCCTCACAAGCGCCACCGTAGGGCCAACCAGCGCCATCACCGAACACAAGTTTTGGATCACGCCGAAAATATTCGTCCTTGCTTTGCGTCCGGGGCAAACCTCTCCCACCATCCAACAAGTGTCAGAATTTTCACGTTGTAACAGCCAAAATGACAGGCATTAACCGCTCCAACAACAGTTCGCCAGGAGTGGAAGCTGTGCCCCAACAAAACTCCACGCCCTGAGTTCACCCAGCAGGTTTTTCCGGCAATATTTGTTGATTGCCTTCTGTATCGGGTATGGCCGGGAGATTTCGGGGTTCAGTGACTCCTCTTACACGGACGAAGGATGCTGAAGAACGCGGCCATGTTACCTGAAACAGCTCAACCAGTATCAGCTCCAGCTGTCACGCCTTTATAGGTACTTCGTAGGATTTGAGCCTTAGAATAGAACCGGCTGGGGCAAAGCGGCAAGTGAGGCAGCCTACGAAAGTCCTCATTTTCTCTCAACGTGGGGGCCCGTCTGTCCAGGTCGGTGGTAGCACACGGGCTCCTACTGTGTAAGCTGAAATGCGTTGTTTCATTTGATTATCCCAAGCAGGGGCATCCAGTCCAGCGGATAGGCGGAAATTCTGGTACATTTCCTGACCGTTTACGGTGTATTCGTACTTGACATTCTATCCCGGATACTTTTATTAATGCAGAAGCATGGCCCATGGAGGCCTCCACCAGGCTCGGACATTGAGATCACTTAGAATTTGAGAAGTTGACACTCGTACAGTTGAAAACCAAACTCTTTTGTGGCCAGATTCCTTCGCCTCATGCCTCCACGTCTAGGCCACTCGATTCCCGCGCCTTTTCCAGCGCAATACGTGCCGCCCGCCACGCCGGACCCCAGCGCATGATAACCCAGAGCAGGGGCGCCAGCAGGAGGTATACCAACGCAATAAACGTATACGCCCACCCGCTCGTCATAGCATCAATCATTGGAATGATCACGGCCGACGCGCCCGCCCCAAGCCAGCACCGCACCAGGTTGTTGGCCGCCGTCGCGGTCGCGGGCGCCTGCGGATATACATCCACCATCAAGACGCTAAGGACGGTAAAAAAGCCGTTCACCCCAAAACACGCAAATAACAACAGAACCAGCGGCCCGGCCACGCTAGCCCGATACGCCAGCAGCCATCCATACACAATAAACGAGACGCTGGCCAGCACCAACATCGGCAGCGCCACCTCGCAGCGCACGCTCTCTATGGGGAAACCGCCCAGGTCGCGGTTCATCTGCTTGGCCTGCTGCGCGCTGAGGCCCAGGCGGCGGGCGTGGCGCGCAAAGTTCCAGTCGACCGCGTAGCCGACGGCGATGGCCGAGAGGGCGGCGCTGACGCCCCCCGGGATAAAGCACAGGCCGATGTGCAGGTCGTCGAAGCCGTACAGCTGCTGGAACTGCGACGGGATCGCGCTGACCATGGCCAGGTACCCCGCGAACAGGACCCCGTTGGCGGCGAGCACGATCCCGGCTTCCTTGTCGGCGCAGATGCGCAGCGTCATGATGGGGTTGACGAAGTCGCGGCTTTTGGGGGTGGTGGTTGGGTGGGTTGTGTTTGGCGCGGTGGCTCGCCTGTGTCTGAGGGATGGGAGCAGGTCCCAGAGGGAAAGGTTCCAGTTGGGAGGGCTGGTGGAGCCGTTGTCGACGACCGCGCGTGCCGTTTCCGGCAGGAATAGCGCGATGAGAATGATGACGACGCCAGCGCAAATGACGAGGAACCAGAAGATGGATCGCCAACCCAGAAAGTCGCTGAGGATCCCGCCGAGAACGGCGCCCAGGGATACTCCAACCACACCGCCCAGGGAAACGTACCCGATGTAGGCTCCACGCTCCGCCGGGCTAGCTATGTCGGAGACGACGGCATTGCCGAGGGCGATTGTGCCGCTGCTACCGGAGCTCTGGAGACACCGGAGAACCATGAGGGCCGCGAACTGGTGCTGCAGAGCGAGGCCGATATTGGCCCCGATGTAGATGACGAAGCAGACGATGTACAACGGGCGCCGGCCGATATTGTCCGACAGCGAGCCCGTAAATGAGGGCGCAAGCCCCTGGAAGATCATGTACACGGTGATGGTCAGGTTGATGAGCGTCGTCGAGACGCGGTAGTCCTGAGCAAGGGTGTTGAGGGCCGGAAAGTAGATGTTGGCGCTGACGGGCGAGAAGAAGCTGGCAAGCGCCACCATGAAGACGATGAAGCGTTTCTCCCAGGCGTTGAACACGCTGTATGGGGGTTGGTTCTGAGTCTCGTCTCCATCGACCAGGACGCCGGGCTCGCGTTGTCTCTCGCCCTGTTCAACGCCGGTGGGGCCAGGGGTAGGCTGACCTTGAGGTAGAGGGGTTGCGAGCTTTTCAACAAGCGCCGGTGAGTGTTGGTCAGTCGGACGCTCTGATGCCGGTGTTATCGAGACCGCATTGTCATTCTCCAGTCGAGGCTCTTCGGCTGTGCCCCCGTTATTTTGATTGTTTTCTTCTTTCTTTTCCTCCATTTTTCTCTCTTAATGGTCCACTACTCATTCGTTTGATACAGGCTCCAAGCATTCGACTTCTTTGATAACCTTGGATGTTAGTCTGGTGTTTGGGAAGAGATGAATTATTTCCGTTCCAATGCAAGAACTCGGCAACTTGTACCGGAGTTAACTATTAAAAACGGTTTATCCCCATCATTCCCGGCTCTTTCCGACCACGGCGTCCAGTGGAAGCCCTTGTTTTTATAATTACCCCATTCAAACTTTCATACGCCCTTCGGACAACAAGCAGCATGGGACAGAATAATCCACTGCATCCGGTCGGTGTTGGGGGACCCGGTAACAAGAACTGAGAGCAATTGCCATATAAATGATAGTCGTCGTTCGAGGGAACAATGGGGTCGTAGTCGAGCCTGGCGGCTGAAAGTTACCTAAACGCCAATGAAGCTTGATAAACCTAACAGCCGGAGACCTCGACTCCGTTGCAGTACACCCCGAGCCTGCCTATGCCTTCTTTGAGTAGGTAGGGTAATGGAAGCTGAAGATAAGAATTGCTTGGATATTGCTGTCTAATAAATCGACATACTGGTGCGCCTTCGTCACCCTATGTTGATGTCTCCGACTGTTGGCACCAGCTACTTGTCCTAGCCAGCGCGGAGGGTCATGATGACCCATTCCCACTTTGTGTTCCAGTCTGCTTATCACGAGATCAATGTCGTCGTCGCCGTTTCGCTATTGATGGCTGATCGTTCCCTTAATCAAAGATCAGATATGAACTCGACCATTGGGTATGGGCCTCCAACTCGTCAATGTCTTCGTGATCCTCCCATTTTCATCCGCCCCCGAAGTCCATAATTAACTCCACGGCCATCTCAACATGCCCGACCTCAGCCCCAGCCTAAGCAATTACACCGCAGCGGCTGGGAATAGATGCATGTGTGGCGGGTCTGCCGCTCTCCATGCGCAGGACTTGTGTATCTGACTCATCTAGGTAGCTTGGAGAAGGGGTGTGCATCGCGAGCCTTGGGCTGCGGGGTTGATGTAGTCGAGGAGAGAGGGGCAGCTTAAAGGATAAAGTGCCAAAGTCAATCGTGAATGGCTAACTGCTACATGTATGCAAACCGTTAGAATCACCACCCTGTCCTGGATGTGTAATTCATAAAGGGGGTATTATCGGAAGCACAGATGAGTGTGACAAGACCCCTTCGAGGCCAGTGTGAATTCACTAAAACTGTCCACCGAAGCTTGAACGAAAAGAAAAGTAGAAGACATGGGGCCTGCCGCCGTTGAAGCGCCAAACCCGGGATATACCATCAGACATCATCAATCATCACATCCATCGAAAGTCTACCCAGATAACGTCCCCAACTCGCGCCCGTTCTCTACTCCAACTCCCTATGAACAGTGAAAAGAAACCTCTATCATTTCTCCAACCGCTTCCTGCTCAACTGAACGGCAATGTCAGAAGTGGCCCCATCTATCCAATCGTTCATCAAGACAACAAGCTGGTTGACATCGCAGGTTTTCAGAACATTGTCCCTGCACCACGGCAGCGTCTTGGAGTCGCACAGCCCTTTGGTAGCCAACAGACAACTCGTGGTAACGCTCGACTCTAGAATCGAATACACCACCGCCTTGGTAATATTCGATGCCGTCGCCTGGCACTGAATATTAGTAAACGCCTTGCCCTTCTGATTGCCCGGCGTCAGCATCTTGGGCAGCGCGGTCAGAATACTGTCCCCATCCAGCGTGGCATTCCCCTCATCGGTGTAGGTCGACAGCGAATCCACACTATCTAGCATAATGAGCCGCTTCTTCTCGTGGCGCAACTGGCCAATCGTCATGCGCTTCATATCGGCCAGGTTACCGGCGACGATGGCGCCGTCGGCGTGGCGCAGGGCCTCGTCCAGGTACTGCTTCTTCTCGTCGCGGGACGGCTTCGCGCACACGTCGGGCACGCCGTCCCAGCGCAGCTGCACCACGACGATCTCGGCCGGGTGGGTGCGCAGGAAGGAGACCACGCCGCGCAGGAAGGCGTCGTACGCCATTCCCGGGATGGCGCTGTGCTGGAAGTAGAGGCGGTCTGGGAGCGCGCCCGTCGGGATGACGGATTTGTGGAGGTGGGCCGGGCGGAACTCGAAGTACCGCGCCCCGATGCCTAGCATCGCTTCGAGGCTGTCCTTTTGGGTGATGGCGAGCCCGAAGATGATGTTGGGCGCGATGAGCGCGATGGCGTTGGCCGAGAGCTTGTCGGCCAGCTTGGTGAGGATGCGGTTGTCGTTGATGAGCTCGGCGACTATGGCGCCGCCCACCTTGCGCAGCACCGCCTCGCTGCTCTCCATGCTGTTCATGCCCACGTCGTGCGCCGAGGGGAGGACGAGCCGGGCGAATGGCTTGTTCTCGAGGTCGGAGCCGGGGGGCGCTACGTTGGTGATCCAGTTGGAGTAGTTGGGGGTGACGGTGATGTAGCACTGGTGGCGGTTGGGAAGCAGGTCGTGGCCCTTGCCGGCCTCGTACAGACCGTACGAGATGATGATGTCGTCGCCGTGGAAGATGGACGGCGTGTTAGCGATGGACTCCATGGTGCCGCCGCTGGCGTTGCCTGTGAGGGCGTTTACATCGATCCATTGCTCCGTGATCTGCTTCCCATTCTGGAACACCTTGAAGGTAAACTTCCCTCGCTTGTCGAAGAAACTCTCGATTGCCGACGTCTCCACCTCCAAGCAAACATCGCGGAAACGGTGCAGCTCCTTGACTGAGACGGACTGTCCAGGGACTGACAGCTCAATGGAGCAGCCATGAGCGGCGAGGTAAGTGAAAACATGGACTCCTTTACTAGGCATCTTGACTGGTCTGGTTGGCGAGAGCAACGTGGTAGTCTGTAGATGTGGGGGTTGGAGATCTGAGATCTCTCTCTCTCCATTAGGAGGCGGGGGGGTGGGTGGCCAGGGGGGTCTTAACGTCTGCCGCCGTCGGCTTGCAGCAAGCCTGAAACGAACAAACTCGGGGCTTGGCCGGCGCCAATTCCAGCCGCAGCGAGGGATTTGACGGGCCTCGCCAATGGCCGGGCTTCATTAAAGTGCGTGTGGAGAGCTGATAGCCCCCAAGCCCCCCAGCCCAGCTGCCATGTTGCAAGCACAAGCATGCGTAGTCCATGTGCGGGGATAGGCCATGATGGAAATGGGCGAAGTTGCCATTTTTGGTGGTGAACATGATGCTTCAAACCCCAGAAGCCGTTTTTCGTCCCAACGCCAGATTGCCCCTGGATCTCAGACCCGAAACCTGGCAGCTCCACCACCACGAGTCAAAAAGGGGCTTCGGCTTCGGCGGGTTAGGGTTATCGGTGATGTTCACCGTGATGACCTTGGTGGTGTTGAGGTTTTGCACGGCTCAATTGGTCAAATTAATGTAGATGCCGCTATCAATTAGAAAAAGGCGTTGCCAAACACAGTCAGACGCTCAAAGCGAGGGCGGCAATGAAACGCGGGGTGCCACTCAGGTGCCATTCTGGGCAAGCCACATCAAACATTCTGTTCGAATTCCTACGGGACTTCGCCGCAGCCGTACTTCCAACGTCCCTTGGAGGGGTATCATCTGCCGGTATGTCCGCGTACACAAACCAAGACAGAAGAATTTAAAAGCTTGCCGAACTGATCTGCTAGCGCCTCCCTGAACCTTACCTGCCTTCTTTGATCAAGCCTCGACCTGCCAATCTTGAGGCGATCCCTTCTCAAGCATCAAAAAGCGGGCATTCCTGGCTTCCTCATCAGCGCCCTTAAGTCAAGTTACAATGCCTACCTATATAACCCAGGTAAATCTGACCGCGCCTGTTGCTGGTCGCACTTGGGGCATCTTGGATACCCCCAGCGGAAGAAGTGAAAGTAATGGCGACTGATACTTCTCTCACAGCTCCCCCTTCCTGCCCCTCCCGACGGCGATTTCTCAACCATCACACCTTTATTCCGACCCACAACCAGCAATAATGGCCAACAAGTAGCGACACCTCTCCCACCACCATACCACAGCGCACCCCCAAACCCACCCTTCTTCGACCTCCCAGCGCCCACCCCTCACCACCATCCCATACACTACACCCCCAGCCACCCAACCCCAGTCATCTCCAGCAGCAGCAGAAGCAGCAGCACCGCCAGCGGAAGCGGCGGATTCATCCCCCAACCCCCATTCACCACCCCTCCCCATCCCCACAACCACTACCAACAACAACCCCCAAACCACCACCATCACCTCCATCACCACCCACCCCACCACAACCACCCCACCCCCTCCGCAACCGCCCGCCGCTGGCTCACGCGCATCAAACGCCATCCAGCGCACCGAGCCCGGGCGCCAGCCCGCCCCTCGCACAGCTGGGTTTCCGCAGCGACGCGACCGGGTCCAGTCCCAGCTCCAGCGACGCAACCACCAAATAGCGGGCCAAGCAGCCCAGCCCGGTAGCCGTGCCGTTAGGGTGGCATTACCCGGACGGGGGT